TGTATCCTGAGAAGCAGGGAAGCTCTCAAAAACTTGTTTGTCGGATAGTTTCTAAAGAGAAAATTACGATAGAAAGCTGTTTTGGAGCTTGAACCATGTCTAAATTTGGGTATTACTTCATTTCGCTTTGATACAAACATTCCTGGCTAAAATCATATACGAGAAAACTCAGACGGACGTATAACTGAATTGAACAATGTACATGTAAACAATATTTTCGCTTCTGTACTTCTCATTATACCTTATATTTCAGGTCCACCCTCTTTGACAAGATTACAGATATGTGTATATATCATAATGTAATTCATGAAATAAGTGAAACATTTAAGTGGACCTAGGATGTCTTTTAACTGTAAAGCTGATGTTGAATGCTAAGCGAAGGGCCAAAGTCAGAAAAGGGGGGTTTTCCTGCCACTACCACACAAGCTAAGCACACTTTGTATTTTTTGAAAGGTTTTACTATAATACAACATACATCAGAGGTGTTTCTTAAATATGTGTAGCACTCACCCCTAAATCGGACGGTGGCTTTAAAAAAGCAGTCCTTTTGACGAAAAAATAGTATTCAAAACAAAATATTTAAAGGAAACCTTGCAAAAGCATGAGTTTGGTGTTGACACCAATTTCGACAGAATTGGGCTTAATTAAAATCGCAATTTTAAGTAAGAAACATGATTTTCCATGATTTGATTTTTCTTTTGTAATTAAAACCTTTATTTTCCATATATCAGAATTAGAGAGTTGTATTTTTTCGTAACTTTCCAGGAAGTTGTCCATGAACAAGGAATATTTTGCTGAGAAGAGGATTACATCTTCATTAGTGAAAAATTAAAGCAACCCAAAATGTCATTGGCGGATCCAGGGAGAGAGAGAGAGAGAAAGAGTCAGACAGACAGACAGACAGAGACGGAAGAGTGACTTTGCCTGGGAACCACACAAACCTATGCCCGTAGGATGGGTTAAAGGAAGAAAGAAAAGCACATATGAAAGGAATATTCTGAAAGGAAACGTACCTTGATTGAAATCATTTGTAATGGTGTTTCACGCTGGTAGGTTTTACATAAAGAAATTATGATCACTAATTGTAGCCTGAGAAGCAGGGAAGCTCTCGAAAACTTGTTTGTCGAATAGATTTTAAAGAGAAAATTACAATAGAAAGCTGTTTTGGAACTTGAAGCATGTCCAAATTTGGGTATTACTTCGTTTCGCTTTGATACAAATATTCCTGGCTAAAATCATATACGAGAAAAATCAGACGGACGTATAACTGAATTGAACAATGTAAACAATATTTTCGCTTCTGTACATCTCATTATACCTTATATTCAGGTCCACCATCTTTGATAAGATTACAGATATGTGTATATATCATAATGTAATTCATGAAATAAGTGAAACCTATATAAGTGGACCTAGGATGTCTTTTAACCGTACAGCTGATGTTGAATCCTAAGCGAAGGGCCAAAGTCAGAAAAGAGGGGTTTTCCTGCCACTACCACACAAACTAAGCACACTTTGTTTATTTGAAAGATTTTACTATAATACAACATACATCAGAGGTGTTTCTTAAATATGTGTAGCACTCACCCCTTAATCGGAGGGTGGCTTTAAAAAAGCAGCCATTTGGACGAAAAAATAGTATTTAAAACAAAATGTTTAAAGGAAACCTCGCAAAAGCATGAGTTTGGTGTTGACACCAATTTCGACAGAATTGGGATTAATTAAAATCGCAATTTTAAGTAAGAAACATTATTTTCCCTGATTTAATTTGTTTAAATATTCTAATCAAAACCTTTATTTTCCATATATCAGAATCAGAGAGATGTATCGTTTCGTAACTTTCCAGGAAGTTGTCCATGTACAAGGAATATTTTCCTGAGAAGAGGAATATATCTTCCTTAGTGAAAAATTATAGCAACCCAAAATGTATCTACAAAAACGACATTTTTGCCCATTAAACATATTAAATTGCCTTTTTTAATTGTTATGCAGGACCTAGATTTCTGCTTATACACTCACCTGTCAGTGCATTCTCTATTCGTTCCCCCTTTATACTCACTTCTCAATCATTTCCATCGATTCTTTTTCTCTCTTCATGCTTTTCAATTATTTTGTCCATTTTCTATTAAGGTGATTGTGATTAAGTATAGGGTCGGGCTATAGTGTTAAAGACACTATGTCCCTTTTGCAGCCAACATCAAATTCTGTAGAACTTTGCAGGAATTATGATCATGTTATGTATGTCCTGTCTGTGAAATTTAAACTTGAGCAGTGTCGTAATATTCAAATTATGCAAGGAAACCCGTTTACTTGCTAAACTTCACTGTCAGACACTATTGAGTGACTGACTGGCTTTTTTCATCTTTGGTAATAACATACATAAAATGAACTGTAAAGGGTACATGAGCATTTGTCTACATCAATAACCCACTTCTTGTAATGGCCAAAATTAAACTGATTGAATATAATTTTGCGCAGAATAAAACATACGACCATTTGGTACAATGTTCTGAAAAATCAGACTATTACTTACTGGCTCTATAGCTCCTAAGTCGATGCGACAACTGAAAGTCGTTATTTTCCCACTTAAAGAGATTTTCAAGCCCCCTTTTTTAGGGAAGTTCTAAATTAGTATTGTCTTTCAAATGCCGTTGGAATTTAACCTTTTCATTTTTGTTTTTGGCCTGCAAATGGGACATAGTACCTTTAAGTTAAACTTACGCCTGAGCGCGGCTTAGCCATTCTGTCACATGGTTGGTTAGTAATGGCTAATAATAGCTAACTGTTTTCTCGACTATTGTCATAAATATTATGTTATATAATTCTTTATCTTTTCTTTATACTGTACAATACCAAAGCTTTGTATTTAATCCCAGAACATATTTACCTTATAGATGTAGAATAGTTTGTAGCTTAAGTATGTATTCAATAGTTATTCATATTTATTCATTACATTCCCATTTATTGCCGTGATACTTTTGTGTGTTAGTGGTACCAGACACGATTAGCATTAAATGCTATTTTCTGGTCCCATTTATCCTTTCAATGTTAACCATTCACATTTGATTGTTATATCGATGTACTTTTTGTTTTGGATAATAGACTTCAAACTCAAACTCAAACTCAATTCAACTCAAATGCATATTGAAAAATGACCCTGGTTAATGGGATTGGTTAAATCAGGCGTTTACCTTCTATTTCTTTCCAAAATAAGATACTATCCTAAAGGCTTCCATACTTGCCACGTTCTTGTAGCCTCTTTATCTAAACCAACTTGGTCATATTGAGACGACTGGAATAACTTCTACGATTAAAACAACAACAAATGTATTTCTCAATTTCCTTAAAAAATTGATTTAATTTTTGATAATAATTATGTATCCTGAAATGTTTTGATCACTTATCAACATTTCATATTGTATAATTACAAATAAGTTTCATTTTCTATGTTATATTGCAAATCTCATTTGATATTAATTTTATGTAAGCATTTTTTTAATGTTTTGATTGAGTGATAGAAATAAAATTATTTGAATTAAATTGGATAGAATAGAATTGGCTGAGTATTCTGCAGAGAGCAGTCTGTATAGTACAGGAAAATAACGCACTACAGGATTTTTAATAGTAGACATTTCCTTATGGCTCTCATTTAGCTACTGATTTGTTTTTAATTTTTATCGTTGACTAATGTTTGACTGATTTTGGTTTCTAATGACTGTTTTGAGGGTGATTCTGAGCTATATAATTTAGAAGTTTTACACAAGCAAGGCCATGGATTTTGACATCATACCTCGGATTTTTGGCTAACGCATGAATTATTTAGACAATTTTAAGTGAATAAACATGCTCAATTTGTCATATAAAGCAAATCATCCATGATTAAAATTAGTAGAAACAACATGAACTACAACTTTATAGAATTCCGTAGACAATAAAAGAAATGTGGCAGCTATAATGGATTAGTGCACATGGCCACGCGGTTCGAATCCCTGCCACAACACGTACTATTGGTCCATTGATCGTGTTGCCATTCACTTTTTTTTAATCATAACCCTTCTTTTTTCTCTGAAGGAAATAGGAAAAACAAAATATTGTGGAAAAGAAAAGAAATAATTTCAAATTTATACGCAAACTGGTCGAGAAAATACTACAAACTTTATTTGCGATTTGTTTAAAATGTGAAAATATAATTTTGTTTATGTGAATATTTTTCATCTGTAAATGTGTAACTTTATTTGTAACCTTGTATGGAAATGTAAAAGTTCACTTGCAAATTTATTTAGACCTATGTGAAGATTATTTTGTTATTTTGTATACAATGTTGTACATTTAAGTACACTTTTCTTTATGAGAGAAACCTATGAAGAAAAAAAAAGAACTTTATCTTCCTTTTTTTTGCGGGGGTTTGCCACTTCATATGTGAATGGGCCTTATGGATATTAGGTGGGGGAGGAGGTCTCGTAAGTAGGTCTACAATCTAGCCCTACATTAATAAACGAAGCAGTGTTTATCGAATTTAATATTTAATAATGATGAACTTCTGTTCTCATATTTATATATAAAAAGGCCATTATAACTATAGCATCACTTTAGACCATGCAATGTCGATACTCCTCCCTTTTCTCCTTTTCTCCTTTTCTCCTTTTCTCCCTCTCGTACTCCTCCTCCTCTTCCTCCTCCTCCTCCATCAGTCGTGACTCAATCGAACAATAGAGCCATTATAATGAATTAATCATGCAAATATAAACAGTGAGTGTTTACCGCTGTAATATACTAAATGGCCAGGGAAGTCTCCCTGCGTGATCAATATTTTCTTAATTGGCTTGTTTTTAATGTTATTGAAATAAGAAGCAATGTCGAAAGAAGGTAGGAAGAAGGTCAAAAGAAGAAGATTTTTTTATTTTTGTATTAACATTCTATCATGCCTAAAGACTCCTATCCTACTCCATGCAGTACAGTCCGTAAAAAGTGCGGTGAACCTTCGACAATGTGTGCGAATTCTCGTAATTCACGGACTTTCCACAATCGAAAAATCTCGCACGATAATTTTCATACGCGCGCAAGATAAAATGGCGTCAACGAGCAAGTAACAAAACCAAACATCAAAAGAATATGGTAATTATTAGCCTTGTTGAAACTCTTTTCTCAGTCCACAGTGGTGATATAAATCAATATTGTTTATTCCGTATTTTTTCTTGTATTGATTTCACAAATATTGTTCACTATCGCCGGAAGGAATCAAGTAAAATATGTGCACATATTTTGATAACGGTCCCACACCTTGATTTTCGTGTAACGTTAGATTTACTTAAATTACGTCTGTGCTGTGTATCTGCATCGTTTGCATGTTCATGATTAGGTGCCATTTTTGTTATGATTCTTTTTATTGATTTTCTGACCATTGTATCAGCATATTCCTGTAACATTGTTAATTTTATACATTACTCTTGTGACAATGAGAACAAAAAGTTCTGTTAACTTTGTTGGCAAATTTTACTCTTTTTTTGAATTTTTTTTTTTTGAATTTTTTTTTCTTCCAGATTTAGATCTAATTATCCTGATTATCATGTGAATTGTCATGACTATGAATGAGTACAAACTATGAGTATGAATATGAGTATGACTTTTGTTATGTTTGATTTTTTTTTTAATTTGAGGTTGTCCACACACAGCAGATAGCAGCAGTGTCAGTAATTTTGTAATGTTTCGTAATCGTATGACTAGTTTTACTTTTAGTGTTGTCATTCATAGATCTATCAACATCTAGTCACATTTGACGCTAGTTCAGAAGTCTAGCCAAAATTTGACCCGTAACTCCTGCATAGAGATACCCTACTAAAACATACCCAAAAGGAAGTAAATATTCATCAAATGTCCAAATAAATCGTCAATGTGTTTGTTACCTGTTTCGTGTAAATTTTCTTATCTTTTTCAGAGTATTTTTCCTACAAACAAAGACTATTAAATATGCACTTTCATACAGAATTCACCGCAAACTGCAGCACAATACAATTGCATACCGTACCGACAGTGGGTTGCGGACATGCGCGTGTCTTCAGTTAGCGACTGTAATCTTGGTTTACAGTCGCTAACTGAACACACGCATGAAAAAGTGCATATTATAAGTCTTTGTTTTTAGGAAAAATACTCCAAAAAAGATTAGAAAATTGACACGAAACAAGTATTAACAAACATATTGACTTTTAAATCATGACCTTTATTTGGACATTTGATGAATATTTACTTCCTTTTGGGTATGTTTTAGTAGGGTATCTTCCACGTCGGAGTTACGGGTCAAATTTTGGATAGACTTCTGAACTAGCGCCTCACATTTAGCTATAGACTTTCCCATTTCCATTTCCTAATAGTATTCATCTCCTTTTTCAATCATTGCCTCATTTGTCCTATGCTTCATTAATATTCAGGACCTAGATTCCTTCTTCTCTACTCACCTGTCAGTGATTCTATTCTTTACTCCTTACTTACCGTATCAATCATTTCCATTGGTTCTCCCCTCTCTCTTAGGCTATTTTATTATTTTGGACTTGTCCATTTTCTGCTACGTCATTGCTTAGAGTACTACTAGCCATTCTATAAAAATATGACTATATATATGTGAATAGAAAGCTTATGACCTAAGGAATATGAGATAAAATTATTTCAGATTTGTTAAATACTTAATTGATTCATAAAAAGTCATGGAGTCCTATTGCTTCATGGGTGACACAGATAGATAGAAAGATAGATAATTTATTGGTCCATATTCAAAACATAGAAAATTGGCCTCCACTGGCAGCACATAAAACAAAATACAAAGTAGTTACAAAATAATTGATAAGTCACATAATGTACAGGGACTGGTTCTTCGCGAGATCCAGCGCCTTCATAGTCGCTCATCGTATGCGCCAGTCTGGGGTGAGAAAGAGTCGGCTGGAATGCGCGATTGCGTATGCAGCGTGTTCACAAGGCACTGGTGTCGTCTAGCAGCGGCTTCTGTCTAGGGTTTGGTTATTGATCCAGTGACATCCTCAGAATGGCCAATGAAGAGGAAAAAACAAATTTTTCTTCATTCATTTTCTCGCCCAAATCAAACCAATAAATCGCCCAAAATAATGTGACATAGACAATTGTAGCATGTAGCATGTCCCTAAAACATAAACAAAAGCTCATAACCACTATATGGAGTCTATGGCTTTTGCTGTATAAGTTTGTAATTTCTAAGCAGTAGGATAAAAAAAAAATATATATTCAGGAAGGAGGAAAATCATTTTTCATGTTGTACCGAATTGGTACGAGCTGCAAACCTGATTTTGGCGTAGCTATAATGTGGTATTTTATGGTACCGTAATTTGTTTTCTTCTGATCCTCCGTGTGATCATTTTGCATCCATTATATTCCAAAAGTTTTGTTTTGTGACTCATTTTCCCGTTGTATGTCTCCTTCCAGACGACCTGTACCCTGATGTAGATAATGGCCAGTCTAACCATGTCTAACCCGGGAGCATCAGATGGGGACAATAGCCCTGCTGGACTACTCCTCAGATTAGTGCATACTCTGCTCAACAAGAAAGAAGGTAAAAAAAAGAAAAAATCTTCTTTTTACCCCCTTCTATTTTTCCTTTTTCGAGGGAATTTATTTGTCAGGCCTGATAATTACCCGATTATAAATCAGTTTTCTGATTTTTAAAAAAAAAAATTCTTCTTCCCGATTTCCCCTTATTTTCCTGATTTTTCCCCCAATTTTCTTACTCGAAAGGGGGGCAATGTTAGATGCAATTTTTTCTTCCCCCAAGCCTTTTTTTTTTTACTCAAGGGGGGCTGGTTGAGGGGAAAAAAAATTTTTTTTTTTAGTGCTCACCATCACCCCTGATTTGTTTATATCATAAAATAACAGCTATTACAACAGTGTTTATTTACAGAATTCATGCAGTTGTAACATATCATATACAGTACAAAACATGAAACTAATGTGACATAATCACTAACTAAAATAATGGAAATATTGTTGTTAATTCGTTTGTATCAATTTTCTTTTGATTACATTTTATATCGAGATAGGTGCAAAAGTAACCTTTTTTCCTTTATTTTTAATGTGCCTTGTTATTCAGGTGAAGATGTATCTGCTCAATTTCAGTATGTTGTCAGAGTCATAAGCAGGTAAGAATAATTTTTTTCCATGGAAAATTGTTAATTTATTTCAGCGTGCCCCCCTCCCCAACAAAAATTATCACAAATTCAAAAAAAGTTTGTGTTTAGCTTATTTAGATAATGCCCTATTTCTTTCTTTCTTAGCACAAATTCAAAACCTTTAACATAGAACTATTGCAATGGTTGAAACAGAACTGCGAAGACTCTTTGGCATTTCTAGATAACATGGGATATTATGATATTATTTACTGAAATCAAAGTAGTGATATTAGCTTTGGATATATATATAAAAAAAAAAATTTAATACAAATGTTATTATTATACGATGTGAGGGTTCTACATGTTTGATTTACTATCCCTCTCACCTCACATAACACACGATTACTCTAAACAGTAAACACAACTAAAATGTTAATATCCCTGACTGTTGGGATTCATTGAATCTCCCATTCATCAACTCATTGAATGCGCATGCACATACTTTTACATACATGTAATCATATATGCATATAATTAATAATAGTTAAGATTTGTAACATTTATATGCAATTTCTTTTTATCAGCAACCTTACACCAACCATTGAAAATGATGAGTTCCTAGTTGCAGAAAGAATCAAACGTAAACGTAAGTTCATCTGCCACAGTTTTTTTCAGACAAGTCTGGAATATTTATCACAAATTTCCACCTGAATTTAATGTATTTTATGCTTAATTAATAGAATGAATTATGAAATAATGTATTTCAATGATGATGATTCACAGGAATTATTTGGTGTCTTTCTTATTTCTTGCAAATACTCCTAAAGCACAGATTTGTATGCAGGTAGAATGGCTAACGTTAAAGTGTGACATGTTGATGATGAACATGTACATCTGTTGTTTGAGAATCTAGTAGCACTCTTCTGCTTGATATGTGCTCATGTACTTAAAGATAAAGTTGAGTTCTGGTCATGAGATTGCATTGTGAAAGAAACGTTGTGGAATCGATCAGAAAAGGTTGATCATCTACATGTAGCATATAAGTATTGGTGTGTAAGTTCTTGCAAGGTTCTGGAATCATCAAAATGATAAGAAATTTGGCCCAGTCTTGGTAAAGTGACAACACTGTACACAGAAAGATGTACATGGGACTAAACGAACATATGGCATAAAAATCTGTCCAAATTTTTATGATGTTACATGCCATATTTAGAATATTAAGGCGTTTGAAGAGCCATGCTTTTCAGGGAACATTTTTTATCTCTCCCCAGAACTCAACCTTTTCTTTAACCATTTTCCTATTTGTTGACTTCTTTCTGATTAAAATGGTCACTGTTTTGTCTTGATAGTGGCAAAAGAGAAGCGAGAGGCTGATGCTGCATATTTCTCTGAACTACACAGGAAACTCCAGTCGCAGGTGAGTTCAACTTGACAAATGGATATTTCATTTTACAAAGAAATATTAAAACCGGACTGCACTACTACTTGCGCCCTCTATATAGCAAACAATGCCTAAGCGATACCCGTTGGTCCCCCAAGATTCCTTTTTCTTGTGTTAATTGAGAGCTGATTGGATGAGATAACCACCTGTCAGTGACCTTGCAGGGAGGTTTAAGGATGTCTAATCCCTCCTGGCCAAACTAGTGCAGACAGGCTTTAAAAGAATTTTATTATATTTTAAAAAATCCACAAAACAAGACTTCCAGAAAAGAAAAAACCTTGTTGTAATTAAATTGAATATTCTTGAGAATTGTGAGGTTTTATTTGAGGAAACTGGTTAATCAAATATTGATTGGATATGAGGTACCCATTTGTTAATATTTTGGTTGGAAATCGGTTAGCTTAATGTGATTAAATGGCTGTTCATTCTAGAGATTCAAGATATCGTATTTAACCATAACCATAAAAACATAAAAACAATCCAAAATACAGTATGGAATATAAAAAGGACCAATAGAAAAGCAAATGCCTGTGAGGAATGGCCCTCAAAGGGAAAAAAACAACAACAAGACAAATGCCTAAGTAAATAAAGAGTCAACTAGTCTAACAGACCTGAAAGAGACCATGAATTAAAAAACACTGTTTCATTATTTCATATAATGTTTGATGGAAGTTGTCTTAATCACAAAAGTTGCAGATGTTAGCGCCATGTAGCTTGTATAAAAATTATAAGTTATGTAGCCATTATCTCCTGGAAGTGATGAGAGAATTCCAATCGGGTGAATCTTGCGTTTATTTTTTTCAGGGTGTATTGAAGAACAGATGGGCAATACTCTATCTTCTTCTGACTCTGAGCGAAGAGAAAAAAGGCAATAAACAGCTGGTAAGTATCTGCATTAGAGTCATTTGTACAACAAATCCTGTCCTAGAAATGTTTTTTATGTTTAGACCAGCGTTTTTCAATCTTTGTTTTTGATAGTCACGGCACCCTTTCAAGAAAGTGTAAGTTTTATGTCACCTCAATCCCCAAATCACAGAAAAACACCTTTGACAATCAGTGACGAGAAACCTGGGAATAAACAGCTGGAAAGAATGTGCATTTGAATCCCCCCTACTTTTTCTCCAAGAATCGTAATAGATCTAGATATTAGACCAGTGTTTTTCAACCCTTTTTTAGTCACGGCACCCTATCGAGCAATAAAAAGTTCTGCATCACCCTAATCCCATAATCACAGAAGATTATTTCCTCATGCAATTACATACTCTAGCGGTATGTAATATTTGGTTTTCACGAAATCGACGTGATTCCAAAGTAATATTTTCAGCCCTGTTGAAAAATTGCTAGTTTAGACTAAAAAATAGATCTTTGTTTATGCCTGGAATACTGGAAATAGGTATATTTATTTTGAAGTGTATTTTTCAAAAATGATAATGTACGTTTTACCGATCGCATGTGGGAGGGAGAAATAAAATTCAGACGTCCGTGATTTAACATATTGCAGGAGCATCATATTTCATGTATATATAGTGATCAAACTCTTCAATACTAACCAAAAGAGAAGTATAAAGAGAAAGACTGATTCTGTTAAGGAATAAAAAAAAAGATAGAAGAGAAAATAAGAACAAAGGAAGAAAGGGGAGGAAGAAAATGGGAAAAAGTTGCATATCATGATCACAAAATTACAACAGCAAAATCATTATTGGTTATGGCAAGCCATAGGGGAAACAACTAAATATATTTGATCCTGCAAATATTTGGGTCATTATCAAAATATATTCCTTATAAACATTGAATATATTTTTATACTGACCCTATATATCTTGCAGGGATCGAATATATGTATTTTTTCCCCTATGGCTTTCCATAATTGGTACTGACTTTAGATTTATGTGTTGTTGTTTTTTTAATTTTTTTTACCGCTACTGAATAAATATATTTTCTAACACAATTTGTTTTGTTTTTGTTTTGTTCTGTGAAGGGTTCTAAAACAGCAGCCGCTATATTTGGCAGAGGCTTGCCCAAGCTTGCTACATCCACCCCCTATGTAACCCGTGATGACCCCCATGGGAGGGGGCATGGGTCATCCATGCTCCCTTCTCAGACCCCTCTCCCGAGGGATATAAGTACTAGTACCCTCTCTTCCAAGTCTTCCCATCTCAGCAGTGGCATTGGTGAGTCTGAACAACTTTGTATTTTACTGCTTTTTCTTATGCCTCGTCCATTGAAGGTGGTACTGGAAGCATTATTATAGTGTGAACTTTAGGTTATCTTATAGTGTCGCTAGCTTAGAGCTTACCATTGCCTCAGCTGAAAGCCCAGAGGGTATTAACTTTTTGTTAAGTGCTACTCCGGCCTCTTAAAGACAATTTTATATTTTTTAGAGTAATTGATTTGTGCATAAAACTTTTTGACTGCTTGAAAAAGAATACTGTGAGTTACTGTTTAACAGGTTAAAGATTGTTGGCAATTTGTCGCCTTTGCCAAAACAGAAATAAGCTTCTTTGAGATTTGGGGGATGTTTCTGACTTCTGAGTGCAGTTTGTAAAAACGTTTTTGGGGAATACCCAAATTGTCTATTTTTAGCTGACTATTTGCCCTTAGATTTGTAAGATTTGTTATTTTTACATTGCAAACACTAGGGAAAGATACAAATTATAGTATAAAAGAAGAAAAAAGGGTACTGTAGATACCATTAAAGCCCCTCCGCACTAGTTTGGCATGGAGGGATTAGACATCCCTGCAAGGTCACTGGCAGGTGGTTATCTCATCAAATCAGCTCGCAAATAACATAAGATAAAGGGCATCATGGGGGATCAACGGGTACCGCTTAGGCATTGTTGGCTGTATAGAGGGCGCAAGTATCTAAAAGTAGTGCAGTGGGGGCTTAAGGGAAAATTACAGTTATATCGGTTAAGAAAACTTGCAGTTTTAATTTGAAAGAACTATCTGATTTTAATTCATTCTACAGGTAGTGGAATCAGCAGTATAAGTGGACCAAGTCCGACACCACATTCATATGCGCCAGGGTAAGACTGATGAATTGCATTACGTAGATTAAAAGTTCAGGTAATGACGTTAAAGGCCAGAGGAACTAGATTACATTGATGCCACTTTAAAGACTTTTCCTGGTTTTAGAGCCAGTTATAGTCAAACCTGTCTATTAAGGCCATCCAAGGGAAACAGGAAAAGTGGCCACTGTAGGCAGGTGACCCTTCCAAACGGATCCTGCAGCACACATGCCTTTCTGTAGGGAGACTATGAAGGTGGCCTTTATAGACAGGTAACCTTTATACAGAGGTGCCCGCTACAACAGGTTTGACTGTTTGACTCACCATGTTTACAATGTTTAGAGTTCCTATATACAGGTATCTGACGCTATGTTAGGCTACCTGAGTGTCACTAGTTTGCCATTTTTTTAAATGGCATTAAAAGAAAAGTCAGATGGAAGAAGAGTATTAAGATGAAGAGGGATATAAGAAGGGAGAGTGAAAGAACTTCAAAAGGGAAAAGGAAAGTAAGAAAAGTGAATGAAGGAAAAAAGAACGAGGTGGGAAGGAAGATGATGAGGGATGAGAAAGAGATATTATAACTAAAGCTGTAAATAGATTTAATAATGAGGAAAAGAAGTAGGGGCATAATCTTTGTATTCACTATCACACAGTACTGTTCATGAATGATTGTCTTACCCCCTCCCCCCCCCCCTCCCTTGCAGGTATCTGACCACCCCTGGTATGACCCCCGGTGTACCCCACGGCATTACCCCAGGGACACAGTCTGTCGGAGGAAGGCTTGCTCGCATGCTCATAGGGGACAGCACAACACAGACAGATGGTGGTGTCTCGAAAAGAGCCCCCTCAGGTGCTAGGTCAGGCATGGTAGAAGGGGATCGGACCAACCAGAACCAGGATGAAAATAGTAAGGATTTTAAGGAATTTGATGAAACATCCAGAGCATTCTCCTTGTATTTTTTCTTTTATTACATCAGGGAAATACTCTTAATTCATGATGTATAATACAAAGTGATGTTTACAAAGTGAATTGTTAACAAATGAAATATGTACTGCAAAAAAAAAGTACTTTGTGAAAGTTTAATGACGTAAATTACACCTATGTTCATAATCTGATCTACATAACATTCTTTGAATTTCTTTTTTTTTTTCCTTCCATTTATTTCTAGCTTCCTTTGAAGTAGCGGAGAAGACGCTGGTTCATGATCTGATCTATGTCTTCCAAGGTATCGATGGCAAGATGGTCAAGTACGACGCAACGGATGATGCCTTCAGAATATCCTCAGAGGTATACCCATGCTTTCAAACCGTTCAGGGTTCAAACTGTTTAAACTGTTTAGGGTTCATATAGTATCATCCTTTAACAATGTTAAATCTGAGATTCATGGCCCTACGTCTTATCAGCATCTGTGATATGGTGTAATATTGAAGGCCTAAAAAAATTGCGCTTCAAAATGATCATGAAGTGCCTCAAAAAAGTAAAAATCTTTGACTGACCGGTTTTACCATACTCATTTTCCCAATAGACTGTAGTGTTATAAAAACTATAGAAACACAGCATGAATGGAATTTATATGTATGTTTACTCTTTCTTGAACACCTGTAACAGCTTGGAGTTCCTAGACCTTGTAGAGACCGGGTACACAATTGGAATGAACATGTTTTTATCATTGAAACACACCATGAATGGAATTCATATATATATATATGTTTACTGTTTCTTGAACACCTGTAACAGCTTGGAGTTCCTAGACCTTGTAGAGACCTGGTACACAAGCTCTCAGAGTTGGGATGGCTGTACCTCAAGGTTCGGAGGTACATTGATGCAAGGAACCTGGACAAAGCCTTCGGATTGGTTGGTCAGGTCAGTTCTTGTCACCCAGTGCCAACTTGATTGAAATTTATGTAGACTTAAATCCCCACTGCACTCCTTATAGCTACTTGCGCCCTTTATATAGAAAACAATGCCTAATCGGTGACCCTTTTTCTTGAGAGCTGATTTGATGAGATAACCACCTGTCAGTGACCTTGCAGGAGTCTAATTCCTCCATTCCAAACTAGTGCAGAGTAGCTTTAGAGACAAATAGTAGTGGGCTCTCATGGGAAATTTGGCATCACTCCGGTGTTTACCCAATGTCAGGTGCTGTCATTCACTAAGATTAGCCTTCAGTTTTATGACCAAAGGCCTTTAATATGTAATGCTCTGCATTTTTCTACCAATCGCCCCATATGGAAAAGCCTTTATCTTACATTTCCCACACCCAAAGACTCTCCAAGAGACCAGGGGGTATTTCTTGATGGGACTACGGGTTTGCTGTGTGCAGACCTGTACACCTATTAATGGTATTTGCACCAAGCCTTGTGTCAGCGAATTATGACCTTCTTCACATGGAAACTGACTACCACCTCCCTTTAAACTTTAATGCTTGTGATATTTTGCAGTACTTTCTGTATGAATCCTAGAGAGGAAGTGGTGTCACCTGTTCAGAATTGAAATTTGTCGTTGTGATAGTGCATTGGTTATAATTAAAGACCCACTGCACTCCTAGCTACTTGCGCCCTCTATATAGAAAACAGTGCCTAAGCCGTGCCCGTTGGTCCCCCATGATCCTCCTTTTCTTATGTTAATTGAGACCTGTCAGTGACCTCGCTGGGTGGTCTAATCCCTCCTGGTCAAACAAGTGGAGACAGGCTTTAAAGACGTGCGTAATCATCAGTAGCAAAGACCACGATGTCTTCATTTGCCACACATTCATTATGATAATAATAATTACAGTGCTTATATAGCGCCTAACACTTACTTTGTCAGAAGTCTCTAAGCTCTCTACAATAATGCAGCATAATTACCCTGGCTTTAGCAGTGCAGCTGTTACGCGCGCTGCGTTTCAAGGAATAAATTCCTACCAGGTACCCATTTACTTCACCTGGGTGGAGTGTGGCAAATGTAGATCAATGTCAACTTATATACTGTTTATAATGCCTCAGTCACACCGACCAGACCGACACCAGGGTCCCGTTTCACAAAGCTTTTTTTTCAATGACAAATGACAAAAATCAGTGACCAAATCTGCTGATAACCAATCAGAAGCAAGGATTTCAGTAGCTTATAACAAAAACTGTCATTTGTCACTGATGACAAGTTTTGTGAAATGGGGCCCAGACCAACACCAGAACGTACAAACAATGACTTTATCCCCTGATGACCAAAAATCAGTTGGTTTGGAGTCGGTCTTGAGTTGGTCGGGTCGTGTCACCAAGGTACATTCATAATGACTTTATATTTCTGTTTCATTTGTATTTCCTCTGTTACTTCTATCCCGATTCCAAAACTTTTTCCTGAATATTTTATACATAAGAGATAGCAGTTGTCTTATCTTGTCTCTTTCTTGTACAGAGCTTTTGTGCAGCATTACAGCAGGAACTAACAGAGTATTACAGACTGCTGGCAGTACTTGAAGCACAGGTAAAAAAGAGTTAACATGATATCAAAGAAATGTGAAATCAGGCTTTATAGCTACTCTTCTATCCTCTGTGCGTGCTCCTTGTTAGAAGCTTCAAATTTTCCTCTCAGCGATGTGAAGTCTGGCTCAGTCTGAGACTCCTGTACGCTTGTAAAACCATCATTTTCAACAGTTAGGAAGTATATTCATATAGGGTCGAACGGAAGGAATATGTATCTTGTGCACAGCTCAAACTTGAATAGAAAAGAAGAAAAAATCAGTAGATATGTGTAGATATCTACTCAGTATCATGTAATTAAAGCATAGCTGCCAACCATTCCTATTTTGGAGGAATGGGTTCTATTTTGGGGCCTTCAAACTAATGTTATGAACCCTATATTCCTCTCAGTTTCTGATAATATCTATTGTATAAAAGTATTGAAAAATGCACTATATTCTAATTTTTTGCTTTGGAGGTTCCTAATTTTGCTATTGAGGGTTGCCAAGTATGCATAGATGTAGGCAGAACTCTTTTTTCCCCATTTTTCAGATTTTGAAATGAAGTATTAGCGCATGGATGCGATTGGTCAAATCCAGGCCTCATCTTATCAACAGTTGCGATTAATCGCAACTATTTACATAAGAGATAAGGGACTGCAAACTTGCGATTGATTTGGATCAATCGCAACTCTTTCATGAGATGGTGCCCTGATCAATACACATCTGAAATCAATCAATTACATACGCTATCATGTGGAGACAACAGACCAATGTTGTATCGCATGCCATTTTGATATTAAGAAGTGCAATCATTTTTCTCTTTGACAGCAACTTCAAGAGCAAGACATGGGTCTCGAGGATGGGTCGCCTAGCAACCTCTCCTTGTTCCGTCTCAATGTTTGGACCTTTGACCCTATCCATAGGATGAAACAGCTGGCCATCCTGGTGGATGGTTGTGCAGGTAAGTAATAATTTAGAACTTATTTATTTAATGATAATAATAATAGATCACATTTATAACCCACCTAATGATTTGTTTTTAGGCGCAGTATATATTATTACCCCTGTCATCGGATTCAGGCTTACCTGCACATAACGTATGCACATTCTCCACTCCCGGGGGAGCATTCCGGCCAGTCGCCATTTTGCAAGCGCACACTTACTCATCCAACCACATTAACTTTCGCATCCTACCGGGTACCCATTTAAAGACCTGGGTGGAGAGTGGCAAGTGTAGATTAACATCTTGCCAAAGGACATTAGTGCCGCGGCGGGACTCGAACCCCATACCTTGTGATCTACAGTCAGGTGACTTATCCACTAGCCCACTACACCTTAAAATCTAAAGGCATTTTTTTTGCGAGTCACTACGCCACAGCGTTCACCCTTGATAAGATTGTCCCAATCCAGTGTTGGATGCATTGCATCATGCAGGGGGTCCATGCTTCTAGTTCTTCTTGGGTGCAGGGGTCTTGTAGACGTGGGCAGGCTAGTCTGCTATCCATTCAAAATATGGCATGCAACAGCCTAAAAATCGGGATGGATTTCTATGCCACATTTTTGTGTAGCCCTGTAATACATCTTTCTGTGTACAGTGCTTGTAACTTTACCAAGACTGGGCCAAATTTCTTATCATTTTGATGATTCCAGAACCTTGCAGTGCACAACAATACTTATAAGCCAGATAATCAACTTTTTCTGATCAATTCGACAGCGTTTCTTTCACAATGCAATCACATGATCAGAACTGGTCTATACCTTTAAAGTTATCAGTCCCTTAGTTGCTTACTTACATGCATACACATGCTTATTAGCAGTCGGCTAAACAAAACAAAAAAACCAACAATGAATACCTTGGCCCAACACAATGAAACATGTCCTTTTTCTCCTCTCTTGTGCGACGAGACTTCGGTGGTAAGCGCTTTATAAGCACCGTTTTTATTATTATTATTATTACGTATTTTTGCAGATAAGAAGGGAGGAGCGTTGGCATCTGCTATCCATTCCTACACGTTACACGGTGACCCTGCGACCAGGCTACTGGTCAAGCACATCCTGCGGTTGGTGGCCTTCCCTATCAGGACCATGCTGGATGGATGGATCTTTGATGGGCAGCTCGAGGACAAGTACCATGAGGTAAGGACAAGTAGGACTAGTAAATCAGAAGGTGGTAGTTGATGCAACTGTATGAAAGGGAATTGTCAGCAAATAATATTTAGTCCTGTTATCTCTTTTAAATAATTTATACCTTAAGTTTTGATTGCTTGATAAATTGATGCATCTGTATGGGTATAAAAGGGAATTGTCAGCAAATATAATTTCATCTGGTTCGTTCATTCGTGTCTCCTTAGATCAAGATAGTTATGTAAAGTTCCTTAATTAAAAGTAAATTAACTAAATTAAGTTCATCTGGTTATCTCTTGTAAATAACTAATACTTTCGCGCCCCACTGCACTACTTATAGCTACTTGCGCCCTCCATATAGCAAACAATGCCTAATCGGTGACCATTGGTCCCCTATGGTCCCCTTTTTCTTATTTTAATTGAGAGCTGATTTGATGAGATAACCACCTGTCAGTGACCATGCAGAGAGTTATAATCACTCCTGGCCAAACTAGTGCAGATAAGCTTTAAGTTTGACTGTGTGATTAATTGATTCAACTGTTTCGGTAGTTTAGAGGTGTTGTGGTCGAGTAGATATGTACCCGGACTGTGGATCACAAGGTCGTCGGTTCGAGTCCCGCAGCAGCACTTATGTCCTTTGGCAAGACATTAATCTACGTTTGCCACACTCGACCCAGATGAGGTAAATGGGTACCTGGTAGGATTATTCCTTGAAATGCGCTGAGCGCTGATAACGGCTGCCAGAGTTAGAGCCAGGGAAATAATTATGTAATATATGTGAAGCGCACTGATATATCTTAGGACAGGAATAGCGCTATATAATTGATGCAACTATTTTGGTATTTCAATCACAGTTTTTTGTAGCAGCCGACCCGACAGTGAAGGAGGAGAAGCTGTGGCATGACAAGTATTCCCTGCGCAAGTCCATGATACCATCCTTCATCAGTATGGAACAGGCCAGGAAGGTGAGTTGACCAATCTTAAAGCCCCACTGTCCTACTTGTAGCTACTTGCTCCCTCTATATAGAAAACTTCCCCAATCGGTGCCTGTTGGTCCCCCATGATCCTCCTTTTCTTATGTTAGTTGAGAGCTGCGTTAATGAGTCACCTGTCAGTGACCTCGCTGTGTGGTCTAATCCCTTCTGGCCCAGTAGTGTTGACGGTCTTTAAAGGGATCGTTTATCAATGTTAAATCTGAGATGCACGGCCCTACGTGTGATCAGTGTCTGTGATATGGTGTAATATTGAAACCCTTACAAAAATTGCTCTCTAAAATGATCATGAAGTGCCTCAAAAAAGTTTAAATTTGAGTGACCAGTTTTACAATACCCATTTTCCCCAATAGACTGCAGTGTTATAAAAACTGTTAGGAAAACAAAAACAGAAATTTCGATTTCCAATCATTAATATCCTGGTAATCGAACATGCCATTGGCTTGTGAAAGGTTTATAATTATCATTGAAGCATGAGCTAAATCCAGGATTTTGTTTCGGAATCTGAGACAAAGGTACCCAATCCCTTTACAGACGGATAGTAGTGGGCTCTCATGGGGAATTTGACACCATTCGGGTATTTATCCAATAACAGGTGTTGTCAATCACCAGCATTATCCTTCAGTTTTATGATATCAACAGGCCTTATGTAATGCTTTGCATTTTCCACCAATTGCCCCATATGGAAAAATCATTATCTTACATTTGCCTCACCCAAAGACTCTGTGAGAGACTAGGGGATATTTCTTGATGGGACCATGTGTTTGCTGTGTGTGAAAGTTGTACACCCATTAATGGTGATTTCAACCAAGTCTGGTGTCAGAGAATTATGACCTACTGCACATGGAAACTAAAGACCTTCTCCCTTTAAGCAGTAAACATTTATATCCTTTAGTGCAAATAGCGATTTTGGTGTCCAGGGCCCGTATTGATAAAACCTCACTATAAGCTAGTTTTCGACTAGTTACAGAGGCTATAGACATAGTTAATTGACAAAAAGTAAACTTTTTGATCACAATATGAGACAAATGAAACTCATTGTATTCTAAATAATAAAGTCACATGCTTATCATTTAATTGCATGCAGCAAATATTCTTCAAAGACTTGGGTCCAGTCTGTTCATATAACATTGTGTTGTATAACAGAATTTCAACATATTTATTTCCTGTCTAGATTCTGTCGATCGGGAAAGCCATCAACTTCTTGAGGCAGGTCTGTAAGGACCACACCCTAATCAAGGGGAAGTCCCTGATGACATCAACATCGAATACCAACAGCTATCAGAACAGTAAGTTTTCATATCACAGAGGGAAAGCATTACGAGATAATTACTCAGTGAGGAATTTTGCAAAACTAAATGGTGCTTGATACAGAAAACTTTCATTGGTTAGGGATACTCATGAAATGTATTTTTTGAAGCTTCTACCAACCTTGTGCTTTTGTCTTTATTATGTCCTGTCTCTGTTTATATTGCATGTAACACCAATGGTAAATAAATGCCTGTACAATTCAAACCTACTTTAGCAACCACCTGTACAGAAAGACCACCTGTCTATGAAGGTCACATCTTTTGTTCCCTTAAATATGGTTTCTCATTGAAAAACTGTATGAACAGAACCTGTATATAAAGACCATTTTTCATGTTTCCCTTGAGTGGTCTTTATGTACAAGGGTCCCTTGTATTATACAGGGACAATTACAAATAATTGAATCTTGAATCTTGACATTTTCCAGCCGAGATGCTACTACAGCAAGACATGGATGGCTCATTCCAGCAAGTGATTGACATTGAATACAGAGACACAAGCAAGAGACTTCTACACATCCTACAGACAGAGTTCAAGTTTCAAGATCACCTAAAGGTTAGTTCCTAGACCATTGTTAGTTCCTAGACCAGTGATTATGTCCTAGACCACAGTGATTGGGTTCCTTGACCACAGTTACAAGGTTCTAGACAACAGTAATTAGTTCCTAGACCACATTGATTCAGGTCTTAGACCTTGTGTACAGATGTACCAGCAAGAGACTTCTAAAGATCCTACATACAATTTCAAGTTCCTAGAACTCCATAAAGCTGGTTCTTAGACTACAGCGATTAGTTCCTAGACCACAGTGAGTGGGTTCTAGATCACTGACTGGGTCCTGGACCTCAGTGATTGGGTCCTGCACCACAGTAATCGGGATTTGAACCTTAGTCATTAGGTCCTAGACCATCACAGTGATTAGGTTCTAGACCACAGTGAGAAGGTTCTAGACCACATTGACTGGGTTATAGACCACAGTGAAAATTGACACAGAATTGAACTACAGTGAAATTCAAGGGATCAGAAAGATCAATTTACTTAGTAAATTCCAATGATTGTATCTCTCTTGTAGTGCATGCCTGACATATCACCACAAGGTGGTGCTGTTAACTTTTAGATTTATATACTCAACTGAAGCTTGAGATATATCACACTGAATAACACTGAATATATCCACTGTTTGGTGCCAGAAGGGTACTTACTCTCATATATTGTAACACAGAGTAAACGCCCTTCTGAACAGATGATTCTCGACAGGGAAGATGTATTCACAGCTGCTATGCATACTACCACTAGGTCGAGCGTACTCGCACTGATTTGACAAGCTTTTTCCATTCAGTTCTATTCTCCATGATCTTTGGGAGCTCTTGTCTTGGTAGACAGGTGTCTTTTTCTAAATGATCAATGTAAGTCATTGCTGGGCGCCCTCTGGTGCGTTTGCCCCTTGAGGGCTCCCAGAAGAGCATTTGAGAAATGACTTCACTCTTGCTCCTCCAGCATATGAGACTGTTAATTCCAATGCTTAATAGTCCCATGTAACTTATCATTCTCAAATCTAGACTCTCAGCAGCTGAAAAACGTTTGCAGTAGCCACATCAAAGACTTGGAACAACATCCCCCTTTCCATAAGGGAAATTACCTGTCGCACCACCTTCAAAAGATCCCTCAAAACTTACCTTTTCCCCAGTGATCTATGTGATCTACTTCCTGTGAGACTATAAATTCTTGTCCTCTTTTCATTTATCTGTATTTGTAAGTACAATTATATTTATTGTTTTTAGCGCTCCTAGATATTTTTATATTATTATTATTAACTTATTTACTTGCAGGCAATGAGGAGGTATCTTCTACTTGGACAGGGTGACTTCATCAAGCACTTGATGGACCTTCTAGAGTAAGTGGGACTACAGGAGAATGAAATCCAACAAACAGCTGCTGAAAATTTTAGTCGAAATTGCCGGTTTAAACCTTTAAAAAGGGACAATCCAACACTTGTATCACGTTCATTTGTATGAAAGCAGAAGAATAAGATAAACAGCATGGCAAAAGTTTGAAATATATTGGACCAATAATAAGTAAGTTATGAATGTTTGAAGACGAGATCAACACTTCGATGTGATTCTCAAATTGGCAGTTTGGTCACTGGATTGTGACGTAGTTGTGGGTAACTCTTCAGTTTTTCATGTACAAACATTTTGTTAATTTCTGTTTTTTCATCTTCGTTGAAAGTCCTCTAAAGAGATTAGATCCCCTGAGTCTTAAATATTGACAAATTGACATTTTAGTCATTTTGTGTGTTGAAACAAATAAGAAAGTTGCCACACATCCCTGAGACATTTCTGATTTAGCCAATTTGAAGAGCCAATACCAAAAATTCATAACTTTACAAAGTTTGTCCGATTTCATTCAAAATGTTATCGGTCTACTTCTCTGATTTTTCTGCTATCCTCTAGAGTAGTTCGCCATCAAGGTTGGATTTCTCTTTGAAATTTAGAACAAAAGCTTTTATCCACTCCTTAGGACTTTCTCAAGCCAAGCAATTTTTCACAGTTTCTTGCTGTCTGCTTCCTGTATGCTGTCTTCTACATGCATAAGATGCGGCAGTATGAAGTGCACTATGAATATTTCTTTTACTTTTGCCATATTGATTTTCGTAAGAAATCTCATGTTTGAATAGCTTTAAAGGGATCGTTTAACGATGTTAAATCTGAGATGCATGGCCCTACGTGTTATCAGTGTCTGTGAAATGGTGTAATTTTGAAGCCCCCCAAAATGAGCATGAAGTGCTCAAAAAAGTAAAAATCTTTGAGTGACCGTTTTTAACATACTCGTTTTCCCCAATAGACTGTAGTGTTAGGAAAACAAAAAATGAAATTTCAATTTCCAATCATAAATATCTTGATAATCAGACAGGCGATCACCTTGTAAACGTCATTGTATTCCTGACTGTCCTAACAGTTTATAATTATGATTGCAGCATGAGCTCAATTCAGGATTTTGTTTCAGAATCTGAGGCAATGCTACCGGGTCACTTTAATAATGATTTTTTTTCTCTCTTTTAAAAAAAACTTTTTTTCATGTTTTATTGATCCTTTTTATATCAAGTAAAACATCACATAGTATCAACATAAATCATGGTGGATCATTTAATAATAATTTCTTCTCTTTTTCATGCCGCCTCTGCAGAGCGGATCTTGCCAAGCCAGCCAACATGCTGTACCTTCACAACCTGAACGGAGTCCTAGAGACTGCAGTCAGAGCAACCAACGCTCAGTTCGATGATTCTGATATACTCAATCGTCTCGATGTCAGGCTCCTGGAGGTGAGGTTGTCTTACTTGTCATTGCTTTCCTTCACAGGGTGTGTGTGTGTGTGTGTGGGGGGGGGGGGCGGTCATCAGACCTTACAATTATTCCGTGTTCTTTTAAGAACTATTAAAGTCTGTGAGATGTGAGAAATTGATGTCAATTTTGAAACACCTCTTTTTCAGTTTGTTGATGGCTGATGCCATGGCTGATGCCATAGATCTCTCCTAGAGATATGGGTTGGGATGTTTCCAGTCTGGAAAACTATCTTGATGGCCCTATTAGTACTGTTTTTACTGATAACAAAAAAAAACCTCCATCTCAGAATCATTAATTTCATTCTCTTTTGTGGATAATATAGGTATTTACAGGGCAGATGGGCTGAACGTTAGAGATACTGTCATTACACCAAACTGTTTGATCTTTTAATCTTAATAATTCAACATGATTCCCTGACGTTGATACTGTAGATTCAGGAGACATAAAGCCCCTGTCACAAATGCCATTACGAACGCCATACGAACGATTTTCAGACAATGGAAAAACGGGGAGATTCGTATGAAATTATCGTTCGTATGAACCTTTTGTGACCGTAGCTTTAGCTGGAATGTTTTAAGATGCAAGACCCTCTATCTCAGGCTGTTTAATTTCCTTATCTTATATTGATGTCATAGATCTCTCCAGGAGACACAGGCTGGGACGTCTTCAGTCTGGACTACCATCTCCACGGTCCTATCAGCACTGTCTTCACCGATAGCTGCAAGATCCTGTACCTGCGAGTCTTCAACTTCCTCTGGAGGGCCAAGCGGATGGAGTACGTCTTGGCCCAGGTGTGGAAGGGACAGATGACCAACGCCAAGGCCTTGAGAGCTGTCCCAGGTGAGACATGAGTTCAGATGCCCAGGGGGGTGTTTCACAAAGATCCTAAGTTGAATTTATCTCTAAGTTGGACTTCAAAATTATGGAGAGCCATTTGTAGCCTTTTCATAAATTCCACATCAAGAACATGAAATCTCCTTAATAATAGAAATCATGAATGATTTGAATCAACATTTTATGCCTTGTAAAACAACTTTTACAAAATATTTTCATAGATGCTAACGGCTTTCCATAATTATTAAGTCCAACTTAGAATTAATTTTAACTTAGGATCTTTGTGAAACACCCCCCTTGTCTTTGTTGACTTTTACGTCAACAGAAAAGAAATTGGAGCTTTGTCCACAGAAATTTCCTTCGTCAACAGAAGAATTTTTACTGCAGGTCTGCTTGTAGTGTCATAACCAATCTGGGATGTTTGAAAGTAAGATATATGACCTATGGTATTGAATTATTTCATAGACCCTTCTTAAGCCCATCTGTACTAGTTTGGCCAGGAGGGATTAGACCTCCCTGCAAGATCACTGACAGGTGGTTATCTCATCAAATTAGCTCTCAATTAACATAAGAAAAAGAGGACCATGGGGGACCAACAGTCACCGCTTAGGCATTGGTGGCTATATAGAGGGTGCAAGTAGCTATGAGTAGTGCAGTGGGGCTTTAATAGACCTTTATTAATTAAATTCTATAATATCTTTATCATTTAGAACTATCACCTCTCCTCCATCTATGTCACGTGATCGCTGCTGAGATGATACACTTTGTCAACCAGATGCAGTACTACATTAACTTTGAGGTGAGACATTAGTACATGTTCAAACAAATTCATGATTTAAACTTGAATTTAATTCTCACTGTGAACCTGTTTATTATGTAATTGTGTGCATTTTATTATAAGGAGGGTGTATATAGTGTCCCTAGAACGTTTGAAATATTGATAATAATGATGATGCTAGTTTTTGTGGAGTTGTCGTGGTATACAGTGTGAGTCAAAAACAAGGTGTACACCTAGAAAATGCTAATTATTTTTAAAATGTTTTATGGACAGTAAATTATTATACATCTTATAGAAGAGTGTTTTATCCCAATTAATTTGGTATCATTTTTATGTGGTATGTGATCACTCTTGGATGAACAGGAGACATTGTTTAAGAGAGTGCAAAAATCGACTTGCGCAAAAGTATTAAAGTGAGAGAATCAATTGAATGTTTTAAATGAGATGCATTACATATGCTTTTTTCAGGAGCAAAGTCACACACACACACACACACACACACAACACATTTAAATGCAAACTGACTGAGTTCTTTTGGAGAAACAATTCATTGTGATGCACCAAACTTTCATTATGGCAAAGGGTGTGATTGTGATAACTGTGATCTATATGTACCACTGTCTATTATCCAGGTGATGGCATGTTCCTGGGATGAGATGTGGAAGGACGTGACAGAGGCAGCAGACCTTGATAAGATCATCGCTGCTCATGAGGTCTTCCTGGATACAATCCTGAGGAGAGCGTTGCTCGATGAAGAGTCAAGGGTAAGAAATAGGTGGAAGATATTATGAGGGAGAGGGGGGGGGGGGGGGGGGGGGGGGGGGAGGGAGGGGGTACTTACGTGCAGGTGAGGACCTTGATAAGATCATCGCTGCTCATGAAGTCTTCCTGGATACAATCCTGAGAAGAGCTTTGCTGGATGAAGAGTCAAGGGTAAGAAAAAGTTGGAAGGTATTAGGAGGGAGAGGGAAGGAGAGGGGGAGGGGAGAGAGAGAGGGGTACGTACGTGCAGGTGAGGACCTTGATAAGATCATTGCTGCTTATGAAGTCTTCCTTGATACAATCCTGAGAAGAGCTTTGCTAGATGAAGAGTCAAGGGTAAGAAATAGGTGGAAGGTTTTAGGAGGGAGAGGGAATGAGAGAGAGAGAGATACGTACGTACGTGCAGGTGAGGACCTTGATAAGATCATCGCTGCTCATGAAGTCTTCCTAGATACAATCCTGAGGAGAGCATTGCTAGATGAAGAGTCAAGGGTAAGAAATAGGTGGAAGGTTTTAGGAGGGAGAGGGAATGAGAGAGAGAGAGAGAGAGATACGTACGTACGTGCAGGTGAGGACCTTGATAAGATCATTGCTGCTCATGAAATCTTCCTAGATACAATCCTGAGAAGAGCATTGCTAGATGAAGAGTCAAGGGTAAGAAATAGGTGGAAGGTTTTAGGAGGGAGAGGGAAGGAGAGGGGGAGGGGAGAGAGAAAGGGGTACGTACGTGCAGGTGAGGACCTTGATAAGATCATTGCTGCTCATGAAATCTTCCTAGATACAATCCTGAGTAGAGCATTGCTAGATGAAGAGTCAAGGGTAAGAAATAGGAAGGTTTTAGGAGGGAGAGGGAAGGAGAGGGGGAGGGGAGAGAGAAAGGGGTACGTACGTGCAGGTGAGGACCTTGATAAGATCATTGCTGCTCATGAAGTCTTCCTAGATACAATCCTGAGGAGAGCATTGCTAGATGAAGAGTCAAGGGTAAGAAATAGGTGGAAGGTTTTAGGAGGGAGAGGGAAGGAGAGGGGGAGGGGAGAGAGAAAGGGGTACGTACGTGCAGGTGAGGACCTTGATAAGATCATTGCTGCTCATGAAATCTTCCTAGATACAATCCTGAGAAGAGCATTGCTAGATGAAGAGTCAAGGGTAAGAAATAGGTGGAAGGTTTTAGGAGGGAGAGGGAATGAGAGAGAGAGAGAGAGAGAGATACGTACGTACGTGCAGGTGAGGACCTTGATAAGATCATTGCTGCTCATGAAATCTTCCTAGATACAATCCTGAGAAGAGCGTTGCTAGATAAAGAGTCAAGGGTAAGAAATAGGTGGAAGGTATTAGGAGGGAGAGGGAAGGAGAGGGGGAGGGGAGAGAGAGAGGGGTACGTACGTGCAGGTGAGGACCTTGATAAGATCATTGCTGCTTATGAAGTCTTCCTTGATACAATCCTGAGAAGAGCTTTGCTAGATGAAGAGTCAAGGGTAAGAAATAGGTGGAAGGTTTTAGGAGGGAGAGGGAATGAGAGAGAGAGAGATACGTACGTACGTGCAGGTGAGGACCTTGATAAGATCATCGCTGCTCATGAAGTCTTCCTAGATACAATCCTGAGGAGAGCATTGCTAGATGAAGAGTCAAGGGTAAGAAATAGGTGGAAGGTTTTAGGAGGGAGAGGGAATGAGAGAGAGAGAGAGAGATACGTACGTACGTGCAGGTGAGGACCTTGATAAGATCATTGCTGCTCATGAAATCTTCCTAGATACAATCCTGAGAAGAGCATTGCTAGATGAAGAGTCAAGGGTAAGAAATAGGTGGAAGGTTTTAGGAGGGAGAGGGAAGGAGAGGGGGAGGGGAGAGAGAAAGGGGTACGTACGTGCAGGTGAGGACCTTGATAAGATCATTGCTGCTCATGAAATCTTCCTAGATACAATCCTGAGTAGAGCATTGCTAGATGAAGAGTCAAGGGTAAGAAATAGGTGGAAGGTTTTAGGAGGGAGAGGGAAGGAGAGGGGGAGGGGAGAGAGAAAGGGGTACGTACGTGCAGGTGAGGACCTTGATAAGATCATTGCTGCTCATGAAGTCTTCCTAGATACAATCCTGAGGAGAGCATTGCTAGATGAAGAGTCAAGGGTAAGAAATAGGTGGAAGGTTTTAGGAGGGAGAGGGAATGAGAGAGAGAGAGAGAGATACATACCTTCGTGCAGGTGAGGACCTTGATAAAGGCCCGGTCACACAGCCCTTTACGGGCGTATCGCGGCCGAATCACGGCCAAAAATTTCTGCCCGTGAAGCAGACGCTGTTGGACGCGTTGAGGTCGCGATAAAGACGCGATACAGCCGTACTTTACCCGTCGTTACACGCGGTAAGAAATTCACACGCGGTTGGCCGCGCGAAAAAGTTTTGGGCTGCCCAAAAATTTAGACCGCGGGTAATCGCGGGCGGTACACGTGGTACACACGCGGTAAAGACGCGGTACAGACGCGGAACGAACGTGCTAGGACGTGCTACGGCCGCGGTTAAGACGTGGTTACACGCGGAATTGGACGCGAAATTTTAGTGGGTAATCGCGGGTGGAGCACGGTCATAGCACGTTTGTTCCGCGTCTGTACCGCGTTGTTATCACGTGCATTAGCGTGTGTACCGCGTGTAAGCGTGGTAGGCCGCGGTACCGCCGCGCTTCACCCGCGATAAGGACGCGGAACAGTCGCCGGCGTCTGTTTCGCGGGCATACCACGGGTTAACCGCGGGTATAAGCCAATTTTGCACATTTTCCACCACGGGCAACCGCGGGCAAAAAAAAATCGCGAAATTTTACCCGCGATACAGACGCGAAGGGCTGTGTGACCGGGCCTTAACCCTATTTAGCCCGGGCTATTTTGAAACTGCATAGCCCAGGGGGGGGCTTCTCAGGCCCCCCCCTGTGATCTCGGCCGTGAAACGCCCGATCGCCGCGAAAATTTGCATACATGTCAAGTGAAGTGTATAGAATACTATGGTAATTTCAATTTTTTTGAAAAATTCACTCATTTGCATATTTATGGTAATTTATGCAAATAAGGTCATTAAATTCACATTTTTGCCCATAAATCAGACATTATTCATATTTAAGCATTCTTTCTCACTACATATATTTGTTAGACCATTTGGAATAATAATACAACACAAAAATTTGAAAAACCAGGGTTATTCCTTATGTTATCTATTGTTTTGATAATTTCTTATGTATTTCTTTGTTTTTTTAACTTATGTATTTTATTGTTTTTGTTGTTTTATTTCATTTCCAACTATAATTCAACTATTTTGACCCCAAAATAAACACCTAAAATCTAAACAAGACCAAATAACCAATGTTTTACCTCTTTATTTGAAAAATGAGATTTCCATATGTTTTGTACACAAATCACAAAAATGAGCGATTTTCGGGCTGACATGCGAAGACAAAAGGACACGTGACTTTGTAATGGTAGGTCCGATTTTCGAAAAATTTCTTTCAAAAGTTGCGCAAGACTCGAAAGAAAAAAGTCACAAAATTTTAGTGCAAGATTTTCTTGCGTTAAAAAATTATCGCGAAAAATGTCGAGGGGGGGGCTTCTCAAGCCCCCCCCCGGGCTAAATAGGGTTAAGATCATTGCTACTCATGAAATCTTCCTAGATACAATCCTGAGAAGAGCGTTGCTAGATGAAGAGTCAAGGGTAAGAAATAGGTGGAAGATTATAGGAAGGAGAGGGAAGGGGAGAGAGAGAGAGAGAGAGGGAAGGAGGGAGAGGGGAGGTACGTACATGAACGTGATATGTGAACTATAAAAAATATCCAATATTATTATTTATTGTTATATTTGTAATTGTCCTTTTTGTTGTTCTTAATGTTATAAGTGTAAAGTGTATTGTTGTTGTTGTTCTAAGTATTATTGTTATTATTATTATTCTCTTTTCAGCCGTTATTGACCCAGCTGCGGGCAATCTTTGATCTCATCATCAAGTTCCAAAATACCCAGGAAGCTATGTACACAAATGCCTTGGAGGAGCTGAATAGGAGACTAGCCATTACAAAGGCCATCAAAGCTAGGACAGGACAGGTGAATGAACTTTTGTTTAGATTCAGTCTTAATTCACCGAAAAATACAAAAACATTAACGACATGAAATTTTCACAATCTGTAAAGCAGGGTGACCTCCATAGCAAAAGTCTCTTACAAATAGCAAAAGTGACAAGTCAGTAATGATTTTATTATTTTGCGTTATGAAACTTACACAAATCCGAATCACTACCGAAATCTGAAACATTTCATGCATGCAAAAGTTTCTGCTTTTGCGGTAGGAGTGTTCTGCAAGTTTAAGAGTGGTCCAGACTGGTGAAATTTTTGAGCCACAAAATAAATGAATTTACAAATTTGAATATTTTGCAATTTGTGAAATATTCACATTGGGGAATGCTGTTATAAACCATCAGTGGACATTACATGTTGGGACAGATTCGGGTTTTGCAAGAAGCAAATCCAGTTAGTCAACTGGCTCTAAGGTTGTTAAAGCACAAGCCAAGGGACACAAAAAGGCTGTCTCTTAAACAAATGCAGGTTAATTATTGGTGATGATTATGCTGTTGCACTTCAAGTGTAATCTAACTTTTTTGAATGACAGTGTCGGAAGTATACTACTCGAGGTATAAGAGGTTCTAGCTCTAGATAGTCAAATTATGGCTCTGCATCTACTCCATATTTGATGCAACAATCACATCTGGGTCCTGTTTCATGAAACTTGTTATCAATAACAAGTTACAATAACTGTTATTAGCTACTGAAATTGTGGCATTTGATTGGCTGAGATCAAATTTGTCATAGAAATTCAGCGATTGTTATTGATAACAAGTTTAATGCAACAGGGCCCTGGACTTCGGCTTTTAAGCCAATAGTTCTTTGATAATTAAGCTGAGAATTTAGATAAGAATTTGATTCAAAAAACTAAAGAGCAAGAAAGTTAAGAACTAATCGGAGATCATTAAGCATTGGAATTTGAAATTGGCAACTCCCTCCTCCGACTATGGCCCAAATTCATGTAGGAGGTTTAAATTAAATCCATGGTTTAAATCCACATATACATAACCCATGGTCTAAAGTTAGCGTAATTCATCGCGTACACAATCAGAGGGCCAATATTAGATGTGCACAAGGCAAGGTACGCTTATCTTGTGCTAATTTTAGACCATGGGTTATGTAAATGAAGATTTATACCATGGGTTATATTTAAACCTCTCTTTGGGCCAATGAGTCTGTGATGTGGTTTCCTTTTTTCTTTGAAGATTTTCCTTTTTTTCTTCATCTTCTTGTTCATCCTTCATCTTCTTTGACTTTCTTTTTTCGTTAATTAGGGAGAATGGGGAATGACAGCGCTGGAGGAAGGTGAGCACGCGAAGAAGAAAGTAGATTTCCTCAGGACCTTTCTCCCGTCCTCCAAGGCCCAGCTTAAAGTGCTATCTCAATCATACCAGGTTTGTAATTCTCTACAATTTCATATGATTATGCTGTTCTTCTGACCTATGATAACTAGGGAAGGGGTTGGGGGTGTTTGGAGGGGGGTATGAAGCAGGTGGTGGGGTGTTCCAAGGCCTTACTTGCTCAGTTTGTACCAGGTTTTATCACGGTTTCTATTACTTTTGGGCCTGGTTTCATAAAACTTGTTATCAACAACAGGTGTCACATTTCTGTAAGAAATCCGCTCTCCGTCAATCAAATGCATCAATATCAGTAGTTTAAAACAGCTATTGCAGTTTACTATAGATAACAAGATTTGGCAACTCTGCGCTAGTCGTAATATGGAGTTGTCTAGTGTGAAATTTGGAGTAAAAGTTTATATCACAAATTATATAACATACTTTTGTAATTCTTCATTCTTATCATTACAATTAGATAAAAAAAAATTTAATGACTGAGAAGATAGTTCGATAGGACCGTGAAATGATATAATACCAGACAAGACTTGTACAAGTTCCTGTGCATGTGCCCAGTACATTCACCAACAAACTTCACATTAAATTTGAAGGCATTGATAACCAGATCTCCTGTGTCACAACAGTTCAATAAATTCATGAAAACAGGATAAAATAAAAAGGCATATACAGTCTTCCACTGTTAAGGTACAGTCAAAATTGTCTGTAGCGACCGCCCAAGGGAAACACAAAAAGTGGTCTCTGTAGACAGGTTTCTTTAGTACATGTTTCAATGAGAAACCATTTTCAAGGGAAACAAAATGTGGTCTCTGTAGACAGGTGGTCACTAAAGCAGGTTTGACTGTACAGGCTACCTTGCTGTTTGGGTGTCTTTGCATATTTAAAGATGTGAAGTTTTGTGTACATTGCTCATGTATTGTTTGTTCCTTTGTGTTTTTTTATCCAGGACATGGTGCAGAAATTCCTCGTCATGTTGACGAATCACCCCGACGACAGTCTCCGCCTCCTTGCGGTCAGGTTAGACTTCAACGAGGTGTACCGTGCGAAAGAACCAAAGCTACGCAGCCCTATGACAGCCAACAAGAAGAAAAGAGTGTTTTAAACACCTGGTTTGAAAGCCTAGATAGAGGGCATACATTTCCATTGAATAGACTTTTATACGCTATGTACATGCAGATTTTGTTTTGACGGAGTCACTTATGCCGGTATATTGCTTAAATTTTGATAGGTTTGTCAGCTGAGAAACCAAGGCAGTTGCTAAAATTCCTAAGTTTACTTTCAATGGCCTATTTACAATGATTGCGTAACATGCTCATAGATCTTGAAGTTCTTATCTGAGCCATGAAGTAGGATTGTTGGGTTGCCCAGCTGAAATTTAGGTAGTTTTTTTAACTACTGCGTTAGAATCCAACTTTTACCAAAAGCCAGGATACAATATAGCACTTACAATTTCAGCTTGTGAACTAATCCAGTTTAATGTTTTTAAATGGTGTTTTATTTATATTTCTATTGATCCAGAATGGTCTGAAATACGTGTAATACCTGAGCCAAAAGTACTAAAGTGGCTGGAAATTATGAGTTCATTTCTGTTGCAGTTCGTTTTGCTGTTCAGGAATAAGAAGGATTTTAATAAAAGATAATCAGTGAAGTATATCTGTATATTGGCAATGGGGAGTTAAATTTACAATCACAATTTTCATATGCAAATTGGCAATTTATTGTTGATTTTTTTGTGTGTACTGTAGTTGCCATTCATATTGGTTGATTTAATGTACATTTTTTCCACTATGAAAGAGTGGAAAATACACTAATTGATGCCAGTTTGAGGATGAAACACTGATTCATGTAGATGTCTGAACTGGTCGATGTGAAAGAGGTTTATGCTGGTTTATTTTTGAATTTCTGTTTTAAACCACTTAAAATCAGTTCTATCACAAGTTTTGATTCACAAAATAAGCTTGTCTATGTAAGGCCTATTGACACAACACGTGGTAAATAATAATATTATTGAATGATTTTGTAACGCACATATCCACCAATCAAGGTGCTAAAGGCGCTCCAATATGTACCCTGGCTCTGCTAGGCTACCGATTTGGGTGCTCACAACATTTAAGGAATTCCTTCCTCCCGGTGCCCATTTAACACCTGGGTGGAGAGGGGCAAATGCACATTAATGTCTTGTCAAAGGACATTAGTACCATGGCGGGACTTGAACCCATAACCATGTGATCCACAGCCAGAAGGTGTATCCACTAAACCACAACAGTGAGGAGGTTTTTTTTTTTTTTTTTTTTTTGCGTATGTGTGTGAATCAATGGCAAGTGGGGATGAGAAAAAGTGTCTGTGTGTTAAAAAGCCCCCAAGCCTACTCACATATGAGTTCATTATGATAATAATAATAATATTAACATTTGTATAGTTTGTCAGAATGCAAATTGCAAATATAATGTGTTGTTAGGTAGGGCAAGCCATAATGTTTGTCCTACCTAGCAACAACTAATGTATGCAGTTTGCATTCTGACTATTGAAATACAATTATTTGTTACAGATGAGTGAAATAATTTGTATTGAGGCACTTCACAAGGACATATGCATTGAATTTGGTTATATTACAAAAAATGGTCTATTAGGTTGTAAACATTATCCTGATTTTGCAACTTTACCAGGAAGAAAGCAGAATTTTGTTCTCATGAAATGCTAGGAAACATGATCTCTGCTAATTTTCAGTTGATATCCTTTGAGAAGTTTTCTTGTCAAAGCTTACTTCTTAGAGCTAGAAGACAAACTGTTGATGTATGATAGAAAAGGCAAATGTAGCATTAATAAGAAAATAGTCGACTAAAGACAAAGAAGGAATAGTTAATTGAGTTCTCTGTTCATTTCTTAAATATATTGCTGTATAGTGTATAATATCTTTGTAATGACTATTCTAATAAAATTGTAAATATGGCAAAGTGAATAGTTTAATGGTGGTTATTTTACCTGACTGCTAAGAAAGCATAAATGCTTGTTTGTTAGTAAGCAACCAGAGGACCGACGGCTTTAGGTCCTCTCTGAATAGAGAATATCGTTTACTTGATTTGAGAGTAAGGTTTCATGGCCAGTATTCATAAAAGCATGAAATGGTTAAAGATATACAAATAAGAAAGGGAAAGGGGAATGGGGGAGAGGGATGAGATAAGACTGAAAGAAAGATGATAGTGATAGTGTTAAGGGAGAGAGAGATGCAGAAAGAGAGAAAGACTAAAATGATGAAAATAGGAGTTTGAAAAGGGTGTATATTATAAGAGGTAGTGTGAGGAGAGAGAGATAGACTAAAATAGAAGAGTTTAGAAGAGAGAAAGGAGGGTGTATATAAGAGGTAGTGCGAGGAGAGCGAGAGAGTTGTTGGCCCTCTAAGAAGATTAGAGTCCTGATTGTATAAAAGCCTCCGAATTGAGCAATCCAGTCGTATTCTTTTTAAAATAAATATTTTGTTTATGTTTGTATATAATATTTTTTACTGAAAAGTAAAAACAAACCAAACCAAGGTAGAGAGGGACAGGCAATCAATCAATCAAATAAAAGAGAGAGTGAGAGAAATAAGAGAAAGAGAGGGAGAATTTTAAATTTCACCTTCAGATTTTTCTTTTGAGGCCGCCATCCTAGTCAAGCATTTCTTATGATGGAGGTCTCGGCTGCACTTTTTCCACAGATATAGTTAGGACAATACTTTAAATTCATAATAATATATTATAGAAATATTAAGTTCGCTATCATATGTATACATGTATATGTAATCACATTTTGACAAGAAGTTATTATTGTTAGCATATTTGTATTATACTTTTTATATCTTACATTTACATGTTCTTTACGCACGACAGGCGTTGACGTTACTAAGAGCACTAAAAAACTTATCACTTTGATAATATTAAGCGTTTTTCCATTGATTATGAATTGTAAGTTGAAATATACGCCTTGGAAGAACTCATCGTTATTATATCAATACTTGCTGATCGTGAAAACCTACAGCTATACCTACTTTACTATACTTATATAGAGGCCCAATATTTAGGTCTAAATTTTTAAAGTAACATCATGATGGTGAGAGATTGAGGGCATAAACTAGGTAAATGTTTAGTATACTGCTGGTTGCTTTGGTATAAGCCAGTTTACGGTTGCAGTCTGAGCATGAGCAGATAAAGGTCATTGCAGAACAAATTTTGAAATACACGGAGACGAAATACTGGATACGTGTTCATGAAAGTTATGTAACATTATTCATTCATGCACATTCAGTGCCATCCATGATACACAGGTGGAAGTATTCTTTGAAAAGGAGAAACAAAGGCTATTTATATAGCACCTCCATCGCTGTAGGAGTGATTATTTCAAAATGTAAAAAGTGGGACCTCTTCATGTTTTTAAGATCTGTGGATATTCGGGGTCATTGCAGTAATGTGCTAACCGTGAACTGGTCTATTCAATAACTTGTTTTCACAAAAAAGTTTCTTACAACCTTTTTTCGATCCCTAATGCATTTTGTATGAAAGCACATTCTGTGATAGAATGGAGCTTTTACAGGCCATTATCATAATCTACTAACTTATTCTTTGAGATTAATATATCACACTAAGATCATTTTTTTCTTTATATTATAATTACTCTCCAAAGAAGAATGTCGATCATTATAGCCTACTTTCATTTTTTTCTTCAAAATTTTATTCATTTTTGTTAGTCACAGGTGTAAGCCTATTTATTATTTATTAAAGCCCCTCTATAGTGTTGGGAGTCCCAAATTCGGCATAAATTTGACTTAAAGTGTATCATAATGTAAAAGAGGATGTCATTTAAGACACACTTCTGCAAAGATTCCCCCTCCCGCCACAAAAAAAAAATGTGTTAGAAGACAAATATTGATAAAAGAATACGTAATTAAGGTTTTCTGTACACAGAAAACCTAAATTTTGCCATGAATTTGTTTGGCTCCCAACACTTTAGGGGGCTTTAATTTTTGAACTTATTGATTATAATTTGTTTTTCTTTTCATTTATTTTTATTTTTATTTATTTATTATTATCATTATTTTTATTTATTTATTTATTATTATTATTATTATTTTTTTTTTTTTTTTTTTTTTTTTTTTTTTTTGGGGGGGGGGGGGGGGGGGGGTTATATACGGAAATTTGATTCTTTTACTTACAACAAAAGATACCCGTGGCGTTTAAACGAAACCGTCAAAAGTACAAGTTCGACCATGAAGTAGGTTTTAAATTTAAACCGTCACAATTATTATAATGGCAGGTTCGCCGACATTCCATTGAAACCGCTTGAAACACATAGGAAATTGTACTTATTTGACGGTTTCATGAAACAATTCACGGTACAACAGCGAGAGATTGAGGCCAAATACCTATGGCCTGGCCCTTTTAAAAATGCAGTAAGAACAGAAACAGGTTTGCATTGTTTGAAATCGATTTAATGACACTGAGTGATTTTATTTCATAAATGTTCTCAATACAAACAAACATAATTATTCAATGCAAAGTGTTACAAAGTTCATTCTGTCTATAACTTGTTTTGAAAGATAATAATACCTCCATCATATTCTTCAAGCTCTTCATATAGGACAGACTCAAATTCCAATTCCTATAACAGATTAATGAAAAAAAGATATCAACCATTGCTTTTAGATTTTGATATCTTTTTTAACATTGTCATGACATATATAAGATGGACTCAATTTAAATAAAATTGCTAATAGGTTGGATTTCCCTTTAACAAATTATATGCACTCCTCTGATATGTCCAAAAAAACATTTAGAGTTCACTTGTGCATTAGTTTGAACAACTCATACATATCACAGCTCACTTTATTTGTCATTTCTTCCTTGATATAATTATTAAAATAAGCAATTCCTGACCCTGCCTATGGTCAGTTGAGGAGGAAGTAGGCATATTTCTCTTCTTGTGACAGAGGACCAGGATATATTATCCATTTAACTTTTTAGATTTTCTTCCACTGAAATAAAGATGACTGTAAATATATAATACGCTCCAACCAACACTAACAGCTTGTTCACATATAAAGACGTTAAAAGACGGGAGTTGCTGCTACCTTGTTTGGCGTTCAACAATAAGGGGATAGAGTAACGTCGATCTGGCGCTGCTCAGTGGCTACCGAGCTCACGATCAATTGGGCAAAAAGAATTTCCATTTTCGATTTAATAAAATTTGGAGTGGACTAAAAGATTATTATTATTATTATTATTATTAAAGCAGCAAAACCACTGTTCAAAACAAAGTAATGACGTAATGTGCAATACACTTCCCATGTCTGTATCTTTTAATGCTCAGTGAATACGCACAAGTAATTTGTTGCGCACATATATATGCCCATCCTATTTAGATTGACAGAAGAAGAAACAAATTCTTGATGCTACATGTTCTTAGAAATTAATTAGAAGTTAATTTTGTTTTTTAATAGAAGAGAGATACTCGACATCAAATGAGCAGTCGCGAATCAAATTTGAATGTCCTATTCTGGACTCTAATACAGAGACTGCTCGTGTGAAAAGCTGCAATAATAATCTGGCTATCGTTCGCAATTGCACAATACATGTGTGTATGTATATACATATTTAGAAGAAAGTCAAGATTTCTGCTCGGAGTTCAAGAAATTACACTAAAATACAAGAAATAATGATGCTCCGTACACAAAGAAATTGTATATATATATGATTTGCAAGGTACCAAGAACACTAATACACTTGAAAATAAATGCTCAAGACCTTATCAAATGGCAATAAAACCTTGCCACCATCAACATACATGTATATGCAAAACACACAAAATTTGGAAAATTAAATAATGTTTGGAATAGGTGAATGTAATGTTTCATCTTTAAGTTAGAAATGAACAGGCATTTTTTATCAGCAGTAACAATGGTATTGAAAATATCGATAATACATGTGTAGTAACATGTACAGAGCGCTTGATACAAATATTACTAAGCGCTTTAATGTATAAGCTGTAAAACAGTATCATATTATAGTATGTATACCAAGCGTTTATGGTTCTAAACGCTGTAAAAAAATTATCATTACCACGACTCGCTAACTTATAAGAAAATATGACATTCAGATTTCTTTATACCAGGTAAACATTTCCTAAACCTGGGTGTAGAGAGGCACATAAAAATTGTCTTGCCAGAGGATTTCATGCAATAACAAAAAAATATATATATAATGCCAATAGGCCCATCAAACATTAAATCTATTATATTTCATAATCAGTCAATATGTTATTTACATATATCCATCTATTTTCAAATAAAGAGTGGCATAGAATATAAACAATGAATATATACAGAAGATATTTACAAAAAATGCAAAGGTCCATGAGGCAATACTGTTAGGATGAATGCAGCAAGAAAGCAAGATATCATGAGAACTATACAATTTTAGACTAACCGCGAATTCATCAAAATATACACCCAAAAATATAAAAAAACACCTGATGACTTGTAATGCATAATTGATAACATAGTACTTGGAAGTGTTTGCATAGTAAATTAGGATTGCGCTTATATATGTAACAGTTGTTTTGAGGTAGAATGGCAAGAAATCAAATTAGGAAATAATAGTAAAATTCAATTAAATATTCCATCAGTGTTTGTAAGATATATTCTTGCAACCGCCAAAAGCCCGCTCTGAATTTTATTCAATAATGCTATTGCATTTCATCCTAAGGATCCTAAGGTGAGGTAGGTTGACGATTTGTCTTAGCTCGTCGTTTTCCAGGACGTTTGCCACCACCATCATCGTCATCGTTTCTGTGAATGCGTTTGCTATGTAATAGAGAGACAGAAAAAAAGAGGCAGAGAGAGAGGCAGAGAGAGAGAGAGAGACAGGGAAAGATTAAAAAAAAATACAAAGAGAGAGAGCGAGAGAGAGAGAGAGGGAGAAGGGGAGGGGGCATGGGGAGATTGTGAGAGATACAGACAAAAAGAGGGGGCAGATGGAGATGGAGGCATTAACTCTGCGTTAAAGATAAAGACCAGTTCTGGTCATGCGATTGCATTGTGAAAGAAACGTTGTGCAATCGATCAGAAAAGTTTGATCATCTAGCATATAAGTATTGGTGTGTACTGCAAGGTTCTGGAATCATCAAAATGATAAGAAATTTGGCCCAGTCTTGGTAAAGTTACAAGCACTGTACACAGAAAGATGTAAATGGGACTACCCCCACACGTGCGTGACATGTGCGTTATATCTATCAGGTCCAAATAGATATAATAATTTAACAAATATATCAATTAGTAGGCAGTTTCTCGGCAAAATTTGTATGATCACATATTAGTCAAAACATATTCTTTCACATGATTGGTAATAAGAGCTTCCATTTCATTTTTTGAGAGGGGGGCATTTCCAAAACTGGCCTTTACCTTTAAAGTATAGCCAGTTAATTCACTTCTACATGTAGCTACAAGCAGACGATTATAAAGGAACAAGAAATGTTGAAGACAGCAATAGAAACAGTTGAAGAGATAAAGGGGAGAGCGAGAGAGTGGGTGAGAGAGGAAGAGAGAGAGAGAGAGAGAAGAAAAAAAAAGGTAATTGTATATTATGTTACTTACCGATGTTCAGGAATTTGTTCACTGTCGACTGGAGCTGCAATTAAACAAAGGAGGATATCCAGTTGTAAAGAACTTCAAATGAGGAATATAAAACAGAATTATAGTAAAACTTTGAAAAATGGAAAACAAATTTGTCTTTGAAAAAACTTATCAATCTTATATGCGAATACAAGTATTTTAAATACGAGATGCATATATAGTACAAGCAACAATGCTATTTTTACATGCACGTAGAAAATTGTAGATTCACCGATAGGTTATCACTTCTTTTGGGGGTTTCTTATACTTTATTTAATTATGACCATGATATGATTGCATGTACATTTCAATGTTTGAAAAAATCTAATGATTCCTATTTTTTATGTGGTGAATGTTATAGGTTAAAACTAAATAATAATACATTTTTTGTAATGATAATTTGACAGAGTACACATCTGCTTACTAAATAGTTATATTGTGCAAGGAAAAAGCATTACTCGAGGTACAAGTTTTTATCTTAACACACTAGACATACATGATTATGATCTACACTTACTGCCATAATTTTGGCATAACATTTTCTTTAAAAATTAAATGTGATGAAATAAACAGCATCTTCATTATTTCTTGACATTTATAATAATCAAGATCAATTATATAGTAAGATGTCATACATCGAAACCAGTGACTGGGATATATAAAAGAAAAAATTATTATGCATGCCAAAGGTATATACATGTAACTTCAAATAATTATAATAAAAGTCATATTCTTATAGCACCTAATACTATGTTTTAAAGCGCTCTACATTGTAATTATTGTTACCCCGGTCATTGGATTCAATAGATAATCCGCACATGATAAAGCACACATTCCGCTCCCTGAGGAGTATTCCTGCACGGTCGGTGCCATTTTACAAGCACACACGTTTGTATCCTATCGAGTACCCATTTAACACCTGGGTGGAGAGTGGTAAACGTAGAATTAAAGCGATAGTTGAGTTCTTGTTTAAAGGGATCCGGTATCTTTGTCTCAGATTCTGAAACAAAATCCTGGATTTAGCTCATGCTGCAATGATAATTATAAACCTTTAGGTCACTCAGGAACTCCATGACTTTTACAAGCCGACGCTTATCTGATTATGAAGATATTTATGATTGGAACAATGATTAACAAATTTTACACTACAGTCTATTGGGGAAAACAAGTATGGTAAAACCGGTCACTCACAGATTTTTACTTTTTTGAGGCACTTCTTGATCATTTTGAAGCGCAATTTTTTTTTAGGGCTTCAAAATTACACCATATCACAGACACTGATAACACGTAGGTATCTCAGATTTAACATTGTTTAATCATCCGTTTAAGACTGCAAATGCCTTCAAAGTGCATGATTATTGCTCTTATTCTTAATATATGACATTTCTAGTGCCCTTTTAGAAACTAAAATTGCTATGAAGGGAATTTTAGACCCCAAAATGTGTGAATTTAGATTGAATCGATCATACCAATTCAGCTCCATTTTCAAAAAAATATGGTGACCGTTAATCAATTAATTAATTAATAATAACAATAAAAAATACATTTAATTGTGCATATTATAACCAACACGGATAAGCCAACAAAAAGTCAATATTGGCAATGGCTGGAATAAAATGTATAAGGCGCTATCTTGTTTTTCAATGGCTGGTTCAAAATTACAAAATATTTGTGGGGCACCACAAATATTAGAAATGGTTATATTTATGGATATTTCAGCCGTCTCTGAACCGATTTGAATCAAAGATACTTTTGTCATTTAAATTTTATATTCTTTCAAATTTGACACTCAGTTTTTCATTATTTCACATACAAATTGTGTGTAGCGCCCTCTGCAACAAAAGTCAACTACCGGTATCCCTTTAAGTCTTGCAAAAGGACATTATAATAATGATAACTGTTAATTATAAAGTACCAGCTACAAACGACCAAAAAGCTTACAGTATTCCCATTACCCAATGTACTGGATTCAATGGGCCATTTTATTAATGTAACCAAATTTAAAGCGTAAGTCTTTGTGTAAGTGCCTCAATACAATTACAAACTATTTCATTCACCAAATAAGAATAATAGTATTTCAATAGACAAAATCTGAACTGCAAACAATTAGTTGTCGCCAGGTAGGACAAACATTATGGCTTGACCTACCTAGCAACACTTTATAAATGCAATTTGCCTTCTGACTATTGAAATACTATTAATATCAGGTAAATGAAATAATTTGTATTGAGGCACATCACAAAGACTAATGTATTTAATTTGGTTACATTATGAAAATAGCCTAATACTATCCTGGGAAGCATGCATTCCACCTAGTCGCCTTTTTATGTGCGTGCACATGCTAATCCAATCACATTGACCTACTCATCCTACCGGATACCAATTCAGCACCTGGGTGGAGGGGAGCAATTTAGATAAAATGCCTTGCTCAAGGACATTAGTGACACAACGGGACTCAAACCACAAACTATGTGATCCACAGTTCGATGGCCGTATCCAATAGACCATGACACCTCTACAATGATCATCCCATTTCGTTAACTCAAGAAAAATATGTACATTACATAATCCGACTTTAATTGTCAACCATAATCTTATTGGTCATTTGCGGCTATAACAGTGTACATTCATACACTTTTTGCCAAATAAAATTCCATGTTTTTCCATGACTTTCCCAGGGTCAAATGTGGCACATAAAGTAAACATTTTGCGCGCATGTGCAGAAGATAAACACTGTAACCATCATCATTATCGATGTACAAAAGGTAGAGCTCAGCGCTCATGTTGCATACATTGAACTTACACTGGCAGCTGTTCCTGGATCGAAGCTTACTTTCAAAATACATTCGCTATTAATGTCAGATAATCCAACCAGGGGGGTGTTTCACAAAGATCCTAAGTAGAACTTAACTCTAAGTTGGACTTAAAAATTATGGACAGCCATTAGCATCTTTGAAAATATTTGGTAAAAATATTTTTGAAAGGCATAAAATGTTTATTCAAATCATTCATATTTTCTATCATTAAGGAGATTTCATATTCTTGATGTGGAATTTATAAAATGTCTAAAATACTTGAATTTCTGCTTTTTAATGTATTTCATTTTAAGGCTCCAATGGCTGTCCATAATTTTTAAGTCCAACTTAGTGTTAAGTTCTACTTAGGATCTTTGTGAAACACCCCCCAGGCATCATGAAAATGGCAGTTCCCCGGCATTTTGAATTAAACTGACAGTAACTCACAATTTAAGTCCGAAACTAACATCAGTATCGTCGATGTCATGTACGTACGTGCCGCAATACACAGTGCATGCATGCGATGCAAAACCAGGGAGTTGTTCTCCCTGGCAAAACAAAACAAGGACGCGTACCGGTACTCAATAAGGAATGATCTCAACAATGTGCAGTGTTGTGGAAAATGTCAACTTGACCTGATAGTGACTAAATCTTTGTTTGCATGATTAAAAGTCTCTTTTTGATACATAAAAATATGGAAAAGTTAATAATGCTTTGTTCTGTCTACAAATAATTACCCAAACTTTCCCTGTTGGATTAACTTGGGGGGTATTTTTAAAAATGAAATAGGTCCTACACGTTCTCGGAAAATGCAAGTCATGCCGCACCGCCAAACCCCACGCACATAATACACATAGGGATCAATGCAGTTCTCAGGCGATCATGATCACTCACACAAATACATGCAGTACATGTTTACATTATACACAACGCGTTCGTTCACAGAGCTAGCGAACAACCATCAAGTCATAAGAAATGCGTTCCTAAATGAGAACACAGAAACAAAGAGACGGAAATAATTATTATTTATACATCTGACGATAAAAACACATCAATTTCAAAGAATTTTGTAATTCCATGAGTTTCCATGACCCATTTATAAAAACATCAATTTTCCATAACTCAAGGCCTGGAAAAAGAATTAGCCAAATTCCATGACTTTCCATGTTTTCCAGGTCCCGTACAAACCTAATTAGCTTGTATAAGGGCAAATAAAAAGATGTGAGATTCTGATGTACAAACCTGCGCCTTTTCTGCATTGTGCAGATCTTGATCCACTGGTTGAAGGCATGTCAATTAGATTCGAAAATCCAGATGAATATCCTGATCCTTGGCCTACTGAGTGTCGGGATGATTCTCCCGGACTTGCGTGTAATGAGTAATGTCTCCCTTCTCTTGGCAATTCCTGCACCTGTTGAGGCTCTGATTGAATACGTCTGTGAGGATCACTCTGGAACTGTCCAGAAGGTTGTGCTGATTCCAGCAGGTGAATTAGGTGAGCGAAGTTTGACTCTGGGTGTGTACTAGTCATTGGCCTTTCCCACTGGTAGAGGTGCTGTAGATAACGTCTTCTTAACGAACACTGTAGTTGTCGTTGATAACATTTCAATTTTGACAACGTTTGTCGTCCATAATAGTTTCTTGCCATCCTCATTTGTTGTCGTTTTTGACGTTGCTGTTGTTGTTTTTGACGTTGCTGTTGTTGTTTTCTTTCTGACCACATCTGTAGCATCCTGATCCCTTTCTTTGAATTCTTTTTCCCGAAGTAAGGATTCTGACATGACAACAATACGAAGATTTGCCCCAAGACGAAAATCCAATTGAAACCAATTGAACACCAATTGAAATTTCAATTGGTTTCAATTGGTTTCAATTGGTCTCAATAGGTTTTAACAGGTTTCAATGGGACCTCAGATGTTTTCAATTGGTCCAGATTGGCCCCATTGGCCCCATTGGCCTAGGCCCCATTAGACTTTAATGGGTCCCCAATTGGTTTCAATTGGACCAATTGGCCTTAATTTGGACTTCAATTGGTCCCATTGAAACCAATTGGCCAATTGAAACCAACAAATCTAGGCATCTCATGAATATTCATTATCACTTTACACGTGTCACAGAAAAATAAATTTATCATGATTTGTTAAGCAAATTATGACAATGCACATCAATTTTGTGATTTCTTTATTCCTTCAGCAATTATTAACCAATAGATTATTTTGTCTGATCATGTGACAATTACATTCACGTTTTAGCAATAGATATATTGATTTATATATTGATTATATGATTACTAACCAAGAAACAATATACATATTTAGTATATATATTTGTCCGAGCCAATGTCACTGTAAATGAAACTCTTGAATTCACTTCAGATGATATTTGTGATGAAGTTAATGCAAATGAGATTGGAATATACTTAATTAGTTGCCAATATCGATTATGAAGTATCAATAATTTATTACTGGTTCTTCTAACTGGATCGATTTACCAATTGAATCCCCATTGAATGCCCCCATTGAATCCCAATTCAATACCTATTGGCAATTTGGAGTAAATGGAAAGTGAAACAGTGGGTACCCATTGGAACCAATTGGCAATTGGTCCCCAATTTGGAGTAAATGGAAAGTGAAACAATGGGTACCCATTGAAACCAATTGGTCCCCATTGGAACCAATTGGCAATTGGTCCCCATTGGTTTCAATGGGTACCCATTGTTTCACTTTCCATTTACTCCAAATTGGATTCAATGGGGACATTCAATGGGGATTCAATTGGATTTTCGTCTTGGGAGAGAACAAAGGAAATGAAAAATTATTAGCTGTAAAAATGAGGGGAATTGAGAGAAGGGATTGGTAACGTGGAGATCGGCCGACCTCATCCATTTCCCTTTGAATACACATTTTTTTCTTTGAAACCCCTATTTTTTTGTTAAAAATGTACGTCTATGAAGAAGGATACAAGTGTACATGTAGAGTTTGTAAACAATACTATTACAATTTTATTAGATATATAAAAATGAACAGCAGAAATGCAAGGAGGTAGATGAAGGATTTTTTGTTTGTTAATGTTACAACACAGTTTTCCCGAAATTATATTCTGTCCTCATGGTGTAGCCCCCCCCCCCCCCCCCCCCCCCCCCCCCCCCCCCCATAAAACATGCATGAGCCAGTTTGGTAGACATGGGTTTAATTTTTGTTAAATCATCACAGTAATAAGATATTTTGGGGATTTTTAACACTTTTAAGATCCTATGATCTTTCACCCTTATGACCTCTTGCACCCCGAATCTAGTCAGTTCATAGTATGCTCATACCTGTACTTAACGCTGAAACAAGATATTTTCTAGCAAAAAATGTATGACTTTCTGTCTGTTTCTGACCTTAAGAGTCACCTTTGCCCACTTACTGTCGAAATCTAATCTATCCATTCTTCCATGCTCATACATACTTCATCCAAGTTTGGTTTCAATTAATTAATGCTTTTCAGGTAATCGCAGTGACAAGATATTTTCTGGTCTTTTGAGAGAAAAAAAATTACGACCCTGTGACCTATGACCTCTTCACCAAAAATATAATCACTTCATCCTTGCATTCTCATACTCCATCCAAGTTTGGTTTAAATGCAAGTAATTTTTCTCAAGCAGGACCGACGGACAAGCCCAAAGCGTAACTATATACCTCTATGCATCACCACCTTCGGTGGGGGAGCCATAAAAACAAACAAGGGAAACGCTCTTGGCGGTCTCGCCTGCATAACGCAATTCAATATGATAAACCAGAACGTCAATGACGCAGCGCTCATCCGCATCTTGCAACAACAAATATCGTAAGTTTTATGTGGTACACTTTTGAACTGGTCAAAAAATAAAAATTTGATGCCCTGGAAGGGACATAATTTCATTTCATTTGCATAAAGTACCATAAATAATCAATGGAGCAAAATCTCAAAATTCTGTGTAGAAGTTTAGTGTTCCAAATTTAGCTCTACCAGATAAGGCAAACCAAATCAAAATCGGTCAAGAAATGAGGGAGAAGAAGCAACTTTTGTTATTTTTGGAATAAATTTGCATAAATTACCATAATTAATTAATGGAGAACAATTTCAAAATTCTGTGTAGAAGTTTAGTGTACCAAAGTTAGCTCAACCAGATAATGCAAACCAAATCAAAATCGGTCGAGAAATGAAGGAGAAGAAGCCTTTTTTGTGATTTCGAATAAATTTGCATAAATTAGCATAGATAATGAATTTCACGATAGTGTGTAGAAGTTTTAAATCCCCCTCCTAGCCCTATCATATGAAACAATCAGAATCAAAATCGGTTGAAAAATAACGAAGAAGAAGCATTTTGAAAATCTTGATGTTGATGCCACAACAAAGTCTAAGTTTATTGACCTTAACTTAGTGACCTGAAATTCTACTCACATAATTGGGGAGACTTGATAACCCTATAGTCCAAGTTTCATTGACTAAGAACTTATACTTTCAAAATTATATCAAAAATTCAAAAACTTAACCTTAGGTTAAGTTTTCGATGATGATGCTACAACATAGTCCAAGTCTGTTGACCTGAAATGACCTTTGACCTTGACTTTGTGATCTGAAATTCTACTCACATGATTGGGGATACTTGATTACCCTATAGTCAAAGTTTCATTGACTAAGAACTTATACTTTTAAAATTATATCAAAAATTCAAAAACTTAACCTTAGGTTAAGTTTTTGATGTTGACGCCGTCGCCGTCGCCGTCGCCGCCGCCGTCACCGGAAAAGCGGCGCCTATGTCTTGCTTTTTGCTACGCAGGCAAGACAAAAAGGCAAGCACCTCAGGCTTTTATTTGTTCTACTTTGTTTTAACCAACACTATTCATTAGCGTAACGGTTTTGCCAACAAAAATTCATGTCACTCGTTCTCTCTCTCTCTCTCTCAACCTCTACTCTCAAAGCTAACTCATACCACATGGTGAAACCAATGATTTGACTCAAGGTCATGATAAAAATGAAAAAAGGATAGGACTAGTTGGGGGATTCTAATTTTTATATACATTATATTGAATTCATGAAGTATGCTAAGTTCTCATGCTTATGTAATTTCATATTCTATAATTCCTGAAGTATACTTACTTAAAGGGAAAGTCCACCCCCAAAATAAGTTTGTTTCGATAGAGGCAGAATAATAAGAAAATCAGGTGAGTGAAAGTTTGAGCAAATTGTGAATGAAAATAAGAAAGTTATGAATTATTGAAGTTGTGATCAATCAAATACAAATTGGCAACTCTGTGACGTATTATACGAGCTCTCCTTCATTTGCTTTGTGCATAATATTCCATAAAATCATGTTTTCTTCGTTATTGATGACGGAATATATATTTGTTCCTTGCAGGGGGAGTATAGAAACATATTTGCAATTATTATATTTAGGGTGCATGTATGGTTGAAATTTTTCTTGAGGGAAAATGAAAATTTTAGAATTTTTTAGTACTAAGCAAATGGAAGTTGAGCTCGTATTTTACGTCATAGAGTTTTTTGTGTTTGATTGATCACAACTTAAAAAATCCTAACTTCCTTATTTTTAATCAGAATTTGCTCAAACTTTCACTGACTTGTTTCTCTCATTTTTCTACTCCTATTAAAACTAACTTAATTTCAGGGTGGACTTCCCCTTTAATAAAAATAATAAAAAATTGATTAATAGACCCAACATTTCTTCTCCTTTATTTCTTGCCCGATTTTGTACTGGTTGTTTTTTAAATCTATAAACGGACGAGTCTGGCTTTCAAAACTCCTACACAAAATCCTTTCCTTTGCTAGATATACTAACTAATGAAAAATGATGAAGAGCGGCAAAATTGCTTCTACATTCATGCAAGTCTCTACTGCCTGAGCACTGACTTTTTTCATTACCTGTGAGGATGCAGCCAAGGAAGATAGTTCAGTGAAGAAATCACCATGTAAATGTTCATCCTCTTTGATCGTTAATTTTGTAAGGCAGGGTAGACAGCAGAGAATCTTGGCTAGCTGCCTGGATGCCAAAGGACTTGGTTCCTTGAATAGCTTGCCTATACTCGAACTGAAATCCAGGTTGACTATTTCGATCTGTTGGAATAGATTGATTGGCATCAGTCATGTACATACCGCTAAACAATATCACATTATCATGTATGCATCATTGATAATGAATTCACAAGAATTATGTTGCAAAATTCTAGTATAATCTGCAGGGGAAAAACAACACAAAAAGCCGCAAAGGTGAGGAAGACAGATCTGTAGAGAGGGAATTATAAGTTCTGATGTTTTTAATTTGTATATGTTTCAGTTGATTTCTATACCCATCAAAATATGACCTTTGACCCTATAACAGACAAACATAGGTGGCAGCATCACCAAACACTAAAAATGTGTAGATTAAACCAAGATACACCTCTATACAAAATCTGAAAGAATTCCTATAAAGAAATGTGCATGAGAGTAAAAACAAGGGAAACGCTCTCGGCGGTCTCGCCTGCATAACGCAATTCAATATGATAAACCAGAACGTCAATGACGTAGTGCTCATCCGCATCTCGCAACAACAAATATCGTAAATTTTATGTGGTACACTTTTGAACTGGTCAAAAAATAAAAATTTGATGCCCTGGAAGGGACATAATTTCATTTCATTTGCATAAAGTACCATAAATAATCAATGGAGCAAAATCTCACAATTCTGTGTAGAAGTTTAGTGTTCCAAATTTAGCTCTACCAGATAAGGCAAACCAAATCAAAATCAGTCAAGAAATGAGGGAAAAGAAGCAATTTTTGTTAATTTTTGGAATAAATTTGCATAAATTACCATAATTAATTAATTAATGGAGAACAATTTCGATATTCTGTGTAGAAGTTTAGTGTACCAAAGTAAGCTCTACGATATAAAGCAAACCAAGTCAAAATCGGTCGAGATATGAAGGAGAAGAAGCCTTTTTTGTGATTTCGAATAAATTTGCATAAATTAGCATAGATCAGATCACAATCAGAATCAAAATCGGTTGAAAAATAACGAAGAAGCATTTTGAAAATCTTGATGTTGATGCCACAACAAAGTCTAAGTTTGTTGACCTTAAATGACCTTTGACCTTAACTTAGTGACGTGAAATTCTACTCACATGATTTGGGAGACTTGATAACCCTATAGTCCAAGTTCCATTGACTACGAACTTATACTTTCAAAATTATATCAAAAATTCAAAAACTTAACCTTAGGTTTAATAAGTTTTCGATGATGATGCTACAACATAGTCCAAGTCTGTTGACCTGAAATGACCTTTGACCTTGACTTTGTGATTTGAAATTCTACTCACATGATTGGGGATACTTGATTACCCTATAGTCAAAGTTTCATTGACTAAGAACTTATACTTTAAAAATTATATCAAAAATTCAAAAACTTAACCTTAGGTTAAGTTTTTGATGTTGACGTCGTCAACGCCGTCACCGCCGCCGTCACCGCCGCCGTCGCCGTCACCGGAAAAGCGGCGCCTATGTCTCGCTTTTTGCTACGCAGGCGAGACAAAAACAAAAGGGACAAATGACCTTTGACCCTATAAAACATGGGACACTGGTGGCAGCATTACCAAAAACTATAGGTGCATAGATTTTACCAAAATACACCTCCATACAAATTTTGAAAGAAATCTGTAAAGAAATGTTGCTGTTAGACTGCACTGCACTAGCACTGCACTGCTTGTGTGTACTATATAGTGCTCTTCTTACATCAATCTTTGCCCCCTCATTTCAAAATTGTCTGTTAACAGTATAATGTAACGTCCGAAACATGTTAACAGCATACCAGAAAGTGCTTTTAAAGGGGAATACAGAACAAAAATAAATATACATCCTTTTCAAGCTTATAGTGCATGAAAAACGCAACAGTGTTTACCGGTAGTTCATCACTTTAGAAGGTTGCGTTTAGGAGTACGGCTGCTTTGAAAATCGTATTCTAAACCATGTTTGATCGCAAGTTTCGCGAGAACATTGAAGCCCCATTTGATGACGTCATGGGGTGAAGGTAGTGCAAACCAGGAAGTGTCGCTCGTGATACAGAGCCTTGAGATGTTCAAAACATGTTATGATAGATCCTGTAGTTCATATATTTTCTGTTACTTCAAAATGAAAATTGTTTCGGACGTAACAAAAGTGTTTACGGAAAATGAGACAACTTTTTAAATTTTTGAGTATATTTCTAATATAAGCACTACTACCGGTATAACCTAATAATATGTTCTTTTAATACGATAACTAATACCGGTAAGTGTATTCAAACCATATACAATCTCATTAATTTAAATGAGCGTCTAAATTTGTTATGGAAGATGTAACGTCCGAAACACGTTTTAAATTGCTCTCTTCCATCAAAATACTATTACAGGAAGTGATTCAGATTACTGTTAACTTTCTTAAAAATTCATTTTTTTGTGGCTTTTATTTAACATTGGATTCTGTCATTTCTACATGTATCATTTTACCATGGCGGTACATGAATTCACGCCAATATTATAATTGCATTTCACACAGATTTGAGTATCCAACCCAATTACAAAACTAGTGCTGGAATCTAAGCTGAAAAATGAGGAATCATGTGAATAAATGTAATCTGCACCCCATACATAAACCTTAAAATCAAAATATGTAAAATCCAATCATGTAGCCAGAGAAGGGTTAAACCACGGCTATAACCCCCATCTCGTAAACGAATGTCCCCTCTGCATTGCCACGAGCACCCCTTGCTAGCCGTCAGGAATGCCCGGTTAGATGGGGAAGATTTTTATGTAACCCGGATGCACCACACATTCCCAGCTCTCATCAACAATTCCAACCGATTACAGAACTATAGTGCTGAAATCAATACTGGAAAATGAGGAAATTTGTATCCCATACATAACCCGATATCCAAGCGTTCAGCCATCAGAATTATGCCGCCCGATCAAACGGGGAAAATTTTATGTAACCCGGGTGCACCACCCATTTCCAACTCTGATCAACGATTCCAGCAAGAGTGTTCCCAACCGGGCTCCATCACTTCCCTCCAGGTGTACCTCCCTGCATGTAAAATCAAGCAAGGCTCCTGAAATTATATTTTTCTTACAAAATAATTTCATGCTATAGTGTGATGAAGGCCCAAATTGATAAAATCCGTCCAGGTCAGCGACCTGTAATTAAAACAGTGATTTTAGTCATATACCTGTATGTATCATGCACCAATTATTGGAATTTCACAAGGCAAATTGTACACGATGCACATGTTTAGACTCCCCCGAGGCCACTCTGTGACCTTAATCCGGATGAGGTGAGGGCGAAAACCCAATCTTCAGACCCCTGATCTGAGAAAACATGGCCGGGACAAAATTCCCTCACGGTCCACAACTGCATACATGTACATACCAACATTTGAAAATCAGAAATCTGTACAAATTATGCTATTTTCAAAAAAAAGAGGAACAATCCTAACTCTACTATTCAATACTACAGACAAATTTGTACAGGAAGAGGAACACCTGCATTAAAATGATAATTATCTTCTCCCAAAAAGAGGAATGTTCCTCTTTAATCTGAACAGTTGGCATGTATGCAACTGTGGAGCCATTCGTATTAAAACCGCAGATATTTCAGCGATCACACAATTTGCTCCAGATCCGAAATTTCAATTTGTTATAGCATTACCCTGCCTGCAAGTCCTTTGGGAATACAATTCTCCTTTAATTCATTAACACACTCACTGAATACTTTCAAACCCACTGTACACAGCGACAAATCTTAATAACTAGGTTCTTGGTACTATTAAAATTACCATGCTACAGAGTGAGATCTCTCGAAATTCTGGTTACCATGAAAATAATAAATGTTGCTGCGATACCCATTGGTTTACGTGTTAGATTTTTCCTTGTGGAATTTTTCAGGAAAGATCCTTAGACATGGGTCCCCTTTTCATTTAAAAAATCCTTAGACATGGGTCCCTTTTTTCCTTTATTCCTTTCCCCTCTTCCCTCATTTTGGAATTTTGGGATTTGGGATTTGCTCCTAAATACTTGAGCCTACATTGTAAATGCCTAAATCTCTCCCATCTCTAAATAAATCCGGGGCCTAAACAATATTGGGGAATCCTTCGGTGATTGCATTTCCAGTGTACGAGGTGTACGCATGGGGTGTAGGTAGCTCGTAAAGTCAACTAGACCCCGGGGTACCACATATATCAGGACCCAATGTGCCCTATACCGGGTACTCATATGGCATAATGTGCGCTAGGTATGGTATCCGCCCGTATAGGGGCAGTACCCCCGGGAACTTGTAGCGCTTTGCGCGCTGAAAATGATATGATCGGCAGCTATACTATACCCTGCGTACCCTCTGCCCAGCAGCCGCGCCGGGGAGCAGCGGGGCTCAAGCAGGGAGCTATATAACCGATGCTACGGGTACGTTAATTAAAAAAGGAAAAGTCCTTCAATTAAAACAGATGCTAGAGGTGCTAGCACAGTATAATTATGTTGCATGGTGTTTTCATCTTTATGTGTGTAAACTACTCGTAAACTACATGTAGTATGATACAGTTAACTAATAAAGAATTTTATCGAGAAACTTCAAAATGATTGGCCATTGTATTATTACACACATAGGTGCATTACTATCCTGGCTGTGTAGTAAAAGCTGTGCTATTGATTCTCAACATTTCAAACACCACCGTACAAAACTCAACCAATTTCACTCCAAATCGGTACTTTAGTGACGATTGATGACACCTAAACAGCAGTAAAATACATTTTTTCAACTTTCCGATGTTAGAAAGAATTTAAAAAATCAAATTGTGAGTCCACTGTCAAACTTGCCGATCAGCCGCATCGGCATGATTGTGTGCATCTGTGTGTTATGAGTGTATTGACTATTCATGTATTTAAATGCTGCCTATTAACAGGTAGTGCAGTGCTAGAGGTCAATATGCATTAGCGTTGACTCTCTATATGCTTTGCTGGAGTGTATTATTATAGTATTAATGACTGCTTTGAGAGAAATAGTTGTTTTATTACGCTCAAGGGAAGGTTAGAATTGTGCTATTCCCCGAGGCTTGC